ATCTATCTATCTATCTATCTATCTATCTATCTATCTATCTATCTATCATCTATCTATCATCTATCTATCATCTATCTATCTATTTGTAACGGTATCAAAGTTGGAAGTTTTTCCTATTTTTTGTTATTCTTGGCACTTTTTCTCTCCTTATTTTTAGTAATCACGAATAGTTGTCATCACTGAGTTCCAAACATCAAAAGTTTCATTTTTTCCCCATTTCAAACAAGATGTTCAAAAGTGGCCTCCTAAGTTTTCTTCTCTTTAATCTTCTCTTTAAGTTTTTAGTTTCACCATTTCAGCCAGTTCCATTAATTTCATCCTCCATTCTTCCTTTGTGGGAATTTGCCGCTCCTGTGGTCTCCGTGCTTGCAAAGATTTCACTGCTTTTATCATATATAGAAACTAGTTCTATACTGGTGCTTCGCTATGAAACTATGTGGTTGGGGAGGAAAATGAGGGGGAAAAATTCTGCCTCTGCCTACCAACATCGATCGGTATTCATCTGGCTAGTGTCCTGTCAGTGTGTGGGAGAGTTGAGGGCTGTTTGGAAACTGAAACAGTATTTGCTATGTGAGCAAGAAGGAGACAGCAAGGAGCCTGGCCGTGGTTTAACTCAACTACTCTGTACTAAAGCTGCTTGCTGCTGTGAAACTAAAACTGAAACTCCTCTCCTCTGCTTGTGTTTTGCATTTGGAACAGATTTCTTTTCAGGTGAGGAGGGGGAGTAGAACTCCTAGCATCAGAGCCTGTTAATGATAATATACGAAATACTAATGCTCTGATGGTCATTTGGAAAAATCCTTTTTTAGTGGGCACCTAGAAGCTAAGAGAAACATATGTGCCACATTTCAAGTTTGTAGGCTTTATGGTTCTGGAGATTTTGTGATGATGCGTGAGTGGTATTTTGCTTTTATATATATAGATAAAGGTCCGTGTTTTTTTTTTAAGGTGGTTCTCCATCGATTTTCAAGAAACCATCTATTAATGACCGTTATCACTTTAGCAGTACAGATATAAGTAGCAGTAAATGCACCATCCCTAACACCACACACTACAAGAATAAACATGAATGGAATTATCTCTTTTCTTTTTGAGGCTTTCCTGAGTACACCAAGACCATTGTGGAATTGAAGCAGGTTTCTTCCGATCCAGATTACAGAGAACCATACCATGGTGGTGAGTTTTGGTTTATACTTGGAAGGAGAGAGAGGGGAGTAGAGAAAGCTTGTGGCACTAAGGGGAAATACTTGTGCTTTCTGAAGTGTGAGGCTTACACTCTCACAAATATCAAATTCTCATTTGTTAGGAATGAGGATTAACAGGTGCATTTATTTATTAAGCACATTTAAACTGGCTGCCAAACTCATACATGGTGACTCAAACCTTACTGAAAGTTGATTCAAACTTCAATCTTTGGAATATTTAAAGCCCACTTTTGACTCAATTTTTGTAGCTCGTGTGGCAATTTATACTGTGTTGGCTGCAATTCTTGATATGTCTCCTTGCTTAAAGCTGAACGGTGATTTTTAGTAATCTTTATTACTAGAAATATAGGCACTATATTCAGCCATTTATTAATAATGCAGCTTAAAGTTATGACCTCCTTGGGATTTTTAGACTCCCCTTTTTGTGCTTTATTATTTTATCTTTTTGACCTGTTTTTTTTATTTTGCACTTAAGTTTATGTGTTTTCTTTAAAAACCTAAAAAAATCAAATCAAAACAAAATGTTTTTTAACTTTTTGTTTAATTATTATATTGCAGAAGCCTAAACAGTGAAAAACAAAAATATAAAAGGCAAAAAGAGAACAAACTAAAAATGTTGCAATAAAGAATTGGATGGTACAATCTTCTCTTCATTCTTTTCACCCAACCAGTAGCCTTTAGTTAAATATTAAGTCCAGATGCCTTTCGAACATCACCTTTGGAACACCTAAATATTGATGGAATACATTTAATATTTAATAATAGACATCGGGCGTATTTGCTCATATCTGTTTAAATCATTTCATTTGTGTTTTTTAGTTAACCACTATACTTATTTTTCTTGGTAGCCGTATTACAAATATCTAAATTTTCCTTGCTAGTTATGTAACTTATATAGGGGAAATATTCCTGCTTAAATTTGGTCCTATTATAACTACCCTGCTTCCCTGAAAATAAGACCCAACTGGAAAATAAGCCCTACCATGATTTTTCAGGATGCTCATAATATAAGCCCTACCCCCCAAATAAGCCCCAGTTAAGATTGTCTGCCCGACGGATGCATTTCCAGCCGTATTTCCCCTAAAATAAGATCTAATCAGAAAATAAGCCCTAATGCATCTTTTGGAGCAAAAATTAATATAGGACCCGGTCTTATTTTGGGGGAAACACGGTATATACTGTGGCTTAGCCATCATTGCACATTCAGTGAAGGAGAAAAATGTCTTTAGTCTCATCCATATATTTATTTTATTTATTTATTTATTTGGTTTGTCAATTGCTTACCAGATAATAGGTATAAGTAAAAACATAGTTATGAATACCTAGATACATATAAGACAAAAAAAAGAAACAATAGGACAGGGACAGTTTATTATATGTTTCTATGAATAATTTTGAAAATGGTACAGTTAAGAAAGAGTACCTTACATGTACCTGTTTAAAGGGAAGTGAGATGGGCTATGTCACAAGTCCTTATGGGTATTTCTTAGTGCACGAGTGCAATGACTTGGCAAGATGGCATATGTGTTTTGGGAAGTTTAAACAAAGCAACCCTCCCCTTATCCCCTTTTAAAAACATCCTATGCACGTCTGTTACGAATTAGTTAAAGTGATCATGGCTTTGGAGTAAGACAGAGCAGGAAACAACATAACAGCGCAATACAAATTACCTCTCTGCGTCAACTGACACAACTCGGAGTTAAAGCAACAAGAGGAAGTAAAGGTTTAAAAACTTTGCCGAAATGTTGTAAGGCTGCCAGTCATCAGCCTTTCCCCAAAACGTTCCCCTTTAGAAAAGTTAGACTATCAGTCCCATGTTTCCCTGCCAGAACAATTCTCTGGGAATTTAAGGGAATTGCCACCTATATCTGAAATGTGGATGAGGAGTAGGTGGAATAATAATAATAATAAACTATTGTGCTACTACAACAGGAATATTGCAGTATTTGCACCAATGTAGGTATATAGCATAAAAGGCCATTTTTCATTATATGTGGATATGAGAATTCTTCTGACATTTCCCAGACAAGGCATTGATCAGAAGTCACTAGTCTCATTTCTCAGAGAAATGAAAAGTTGCAGTCCAACCTTCTGCAATAGGAGAATCAGTTAAACCATCAGAATAGACACCTGGAAGGGACCCTTCTAGTAGATCCCCCTCCTCAAGTAGGAGACCCTACATCATTTCAGGCAAGTGACTGCCAGGCTGTTCTTAAAACCCTCCAGTGAGGAAGCACCTACAACACCTGCAGGCAAGCTGTTCCACTGGTTAATTGATGACGAATTCATGAGAGATGATAGTCCAGTCTTTTCTTTAAAATTTCCAGACATGGGTGACCCACCTCCTCAACAGAGAGACCATTCCTTAGATCTTACCATCACAAGCCTTTTCCTTTTCCTTGCATTTGGAGGGATGAGTGAAATGCTGGCTAGCAGCTTAAGACCAATCGATGAAGCCACACTAGAGCTTAAACATTCCACCATAAATCCTGGCTGATGGCTGAGTGCAACATGTGGATCCAGGCAACTCAGATTCAGACAAACCCCAGTTAAGCCCTTAATAAATGTGTCCTCTGTTTTCTCACTGTACAGAGGACACGGGGAATGGCCTTGAAGGTGACATGGGCTGTAAGAATGACTTTCAGATGAAGTTGCTGCTACCAAGCCAATGTCAGAGAACAGAAATTTGAGGCCGGACCAAGAAAATAATATGAGAAAATGTCTCTGATCAGCCCCACTCTAATCCACACAAAAATAAAAGGAGGAAGAGCATTTAGACTTGAAAGATACTGTTATTAGAGCCATTCAAAAGTAATCCTGACCTATCTGCCATTGGTCTTTTAGTCTGGTCTACCTTGTTGGGTTGGCACATTAATTCTATTTCTTCTACATCCTCACCTGTACCCGAACATCTATTTAAGAGTGGGATGAAAAGGCCCTGAATTCCTTCGGTGTCTTTTGACTCTTAGTATCAGAAGCTGTCTTTCTCCTGATGTCAGGATTCCAGAAGTTACCCCCATTTAAATCATGAGTCTCGAGCCAAATTTCCAAAAGTCAAAAAGGATTTATTGGGAATTAAACTGTCTGGCACTGCCTGGGTGTAGCCAACTCTGAAACACATAATTCATTGTCACCCTTGACGCTGGTTTTCTCTCTACCCGCTGAGTGTGTCATAATTCATATTCTCCAATGGGACACATCCATAGCCAAGAGTCATCAATCATGCTCTCCAGTTAGAATTTTGCGCGGCAGAAACTTTGGTCACATAGTTACTATCTTTGAAAACATTTATGGAATGCACTTTCAGTTTGGAAGCTGCCACACTCTCCCCCTCCCTTTCTGTTGGCAACTCTAAAAAGACATAGAAATATTTTATGCGTTGACATCTAAGACTGGTGCCTGATGATTTTTATAACCTGGAATTCTTGCCTCCTATGTCTAAGGGACACGGTGGCTCAGTGACTAAGACGCTGAGCTTGTTGATCAGAAAGGTTGGCAGTTCAGTGGTTCGAATCCCTAGCGTCGCATAATGGCGTGAGCTCCTGTTTCTTGTCCCAGCTTCTGCCAACCTAGCAGTTCGAAAGCATGTAAAAAAAAATTAGGGACCACTTTGTAGAAAAAATAGGGACCACTTTGGTGGGAAGGGAACAGCGTTCTGTGAGCCTTCGGCGTTTAGTCCTGCCGGCCACATGACCACGGAGACATCTTCAGACATCTTCGGCTTTGCAACGGAGATGAGCACCCCCCTCTAGAGCTGGAAACAACTAGCATGTATGTGCGAGGGGAACCTCTACCTTTACCTTATAGACACCTATGCTTATAGATAGACACAAGGTGAGAAAAGTGGTAGGACTGCTGTTCTCCCATAATTCTGATGACACCTGTTCCTTGAATCTCCTGCAGCTTCAAGAATGGTGCTCCAACAAGACAGTGTCCCCCACAGCCTCGAGGGTTCCAGTTGCCCCCCGGCTCTGCCTCAGCCTTGGTTTGTTCTATATCCTGATTCTCCTGGAGAACAGGTGTCTTCTGCTCAGCTTCCTCTTGGAGATCAGCAAGAACAGCAGAAGGAAGGTAAAAACCTCAGATTTGCATGACCTGTCCTCCAAAGTACCCTTCAAATTCCTGAATTCTTTTTTTAGAACTTATTTTCAACATGCTTTAGGAAAAAAAAATTGGGAGCTGTTTCTCAGCTTACATTATCACTGTGTGTGTGTGTGTGTGTGTGCATGCTTATCTTTCTTTTACATCTTATAAAAAAAGGTCTGTGAGAAATTTGTGGGATTTAAGGCAGCACAAGAAGCCCTTCAGTTGGAACGGTGTGGCGGCCTAGAGTGGAGGTCTTGCCTCACAATCAGAAGGTTGTGAGTTCAATCCTAGGTAGAGGCAGATCTTTCTCTCTCTGGGCACCCTGAGAATCTATCTGCTGAACAAAACTCTGCATTGGCAACAGGAAGGGAATCCGGCCATTAAAGAACTCTGCTAGCTCCATTCATAATCCTGCAAGAGATTATGGGGTCATTAAATGAAAGATGATAAGAAGCCCCCTCAGTTGCTCATTGCAAGATCTTACTCTAGTGCAGCCTCAGCAATCTTAAGATGTATGGACTTCACCTCCCAGAATTCCTCAATCAGCAGCATAAGATCCCATACACATCCCTTGGCTAACACTGAAGCAGATACCAGAATCCTGCAACTCCTTTGCTAAGACTTATCCTTTGCAAACCCAAAGCAAAAGCAATTCCTTTTCCACCAGGCAGAATGTGAATGATGAAAAAAACAGTGCAATACTAAATCTTGAATAAGACATCCTGTTGTTCTCAACACTGTGCTCACTCAATATGTTTAATCTTAAACCCAGATTAAGAAAGCACAATGGATGTGTGTGTACATACTATTCTCTGTCTCAACCACTGAACCATATGATGATCTAATGTGGTGGCTGAAATCACTCAAGATGCTAAGGGTAGTAGTGGCTGCGGTCTATCGATATGCTCCGAACCTTCTAAGTTCCCCACCCCATGCTTATTAAATATGTTTTAATGCAGATGAGGCCGACTCAGTTTCTCCATAATTAGCAACGATTTCTAATTTCTAATTAGGACACTATAAATTGGTCTAGAGCAATGGTGGGTAACCTTTTTGGGCTCCTGTGCCGAAAATTGGTGTGCCAGCACCCAGAAGGCAATGCGCGTGTCCCCCCATGCCCCCCGCGCATGCGCGCATGATCCCCTCACTGCCCCCTTACCTGCACTGTGCATCCATGCGCCTCCCAGCTGATTTTCGGGCCTTTTTCGGCTTCCCAGAGGCTCGAGGGAAGCCTCTGCAGCCTTTGGAGGCCAAAAAAAATGGGTCCGTTTCGTCACTTCCGGTATTTCTGGAAATACAGGAAGTGATGAAACAGGCCTGTTTTTCAGCCTCCAAAGCTTGCAGAGGCTTCCCTCGAGCCTCTGGGAGGCCAAAAAAGGCCTGAAAATCAGCTGGGAGGCACGCGTATGCGCAGTGAGGTAAGTTTGCCTGGGGCTCACGTGCCCACACAAAGGGCCTACTCGCTTTCATGCTTACTTCCCTGATTCTGTCCATCCATTGTCGTTGCCTCTAGAACATTGGATCGAGTCCCTTGGCCCCGATTCAGGCAGCCAATCCAGTGCCTTGGACAGCGATTCTTGCCATTGCGATTCACCAATCAGGAGCCAGAAAAAAAGGGAACGCAGAGACCAGGCGGATAGCAAGAACCCCAATGCTTTACCTAGAGATCGGACAGGTAATATTGACCGGGGAGCATGGGGTTGGGAGACTTCCGAAACCCATAATGTGCTGACACTAAATTTCAGGTCTTAAAGGGTCTGGAGTTACAATGACTTTTTAAACTGCTTGCCCATTCAAATTAAGGTCAGGTATGATGTTGGCTTCTCAGTGGTGACTCCAAAATTAGGAAATGTCCCATTTTGGGGAATCGTCTGTTTTGTTTGTCTGGCTTTTGGATAAAGTACAGGTAGTTCTCCAACTTATGACCACCAGGGAGCACAAGTTTTCTGTTGAGGTGAGACATTGGCTAAGTGAGTTTTGCCCCATTTTACGACTTTCTTGCCTCCGTTGTTAAGCAAATCCAAATCATCCCTGTGCATCTCCCGTTTTGATGGCAGGGGCCGGACCCATTCAATTATGGCGCTTTCTGCTGGAGCTCCTGCAAGATGGCTCCTGCCAAGCCCTTATCCGCTGGACAGGGAATGACTGGGAATTCAAACTCTGTGACCCACACGAGGTGAGTCCACCCCCCTCGCCCTCCCCTCATTTATATACAACCCACGGTGCCCTTCCCTTCTGGCAAAGAGTCTCTCGGGAATACAGAGGTATTGTATTCTCTATATAATATACAGATAAGATATAATAATAAATATCTGTATAATATAATATTATACAGATATGACATCTGTTGTGACCTAGGCTTCCCAAGATCATGACGCAGACTTCTCATCCCGATAAAACCCCTTTTATTTCAGTTAAAGGGAATTCCTCTCCAGCAAAGTCCCGGCAAACAGTCTTTCAAGAGATTTCACAACTACAGACCTTTATCAGGCTTGGAGAATTGCCAGGCCGATATCTTCCAAATGCTGCACTGTAGCAGCAATTACTTGGCAAGAAGACAGGAACAGATCTTCACCCTAATGAATTGAACTAATTGTCTCCTGCAAACACCACCCTCCTTTCGCTCTTTATTCCCTATGGGAGGGGCCATTCACCGTCCACCTCTGGCTTTTCTCCCAAGTCGCCCCTTGTTCCTTAGCTGTTCCTTTCTCCTGGCAGCTCTGTGCATACGCACATTGGGAACAGGCTCCAGCTGTTCTTCTGCCTCACTGATCTGACTCCGAAGGCAGCTGATAACTGTTGGATGGCCCTGGCCCCATCTCTGCCTCCGATGCAGAGCCCTCGTCAGAGCCTTCCCCGGACTCCAGGACTGGCCCATGTTCCTCCCCAACCTCCTCACTGTCCGAGTCTGCCTCCAAAAGATATTGTATTCTCTATATCAGAGGTCTCCAAACTTGGCAACTTTAAGACTTGCGGACTTCAACTCCCAGAATTCCTCAGCTAGCTATCTTGTACAGATATTATATTATCACAAATGTATATTATACAGATGTTATATCTAGGTCTACAGGATGACATGGTTTTGTGTTTGTTAAATCAGGAGCTTAGTCCCTCTGAATGTGCAACAGGGAAAAGAAAGCTGAGCAGATATATGCAGTTCAGCACGTTTTAGATGTGGGCATGGTTGGCTTGGCTTAATGGGTTGCCTGCAACTCATTGCGGCTTATTCAACAAATCATGGCCTAGCATTAGGGCATACAAACAACCCATGGCTGAATATGGTCCCCTTAGCACAACGGTCTTCAAAATTGACTTCAACTCCCAGAATTCCTGAGCTAAGATGACAGGAGGAAGAATTCTGGGAGTTGAAGTCCACAAGTCTTAAAGCTGTCAAGTTTGAAGGCCCCTGCCTTAGCACGCCAACTCTATCAAAGACCAGACGTTTCCTGCCTTCCTGAAGCCAACGGTACAGTGCGTTTAATGGACTCCATCGCCTGTAAAACTCCATCCTTCTTCTAAACCAAGGATCTTCAAACTGGGCAAGCTTAAGACTTGTGGACTTCAACTCCCAGAATTCCTGAGCTAACATGACTGGAGGAGAAATTCTGGGAGTTGAAGTCTGCAAGTCTTAAAGCTGTCAAGTTTGAAGACCCCTGTTCTAAACCCAGAGAAGAAACATCATGGCCTCATCCACTGCGGCCCTCCCTCTCCCTCAATGGCCAAAATGGTCTCTGTGGTTAGCTTGAGTAGCCACAACGGGCCCAGGCAATGCAGCATTATCTGGGCACAAGCCGCAAGTAGCAACGCTTGAGTAAGGACTCGGGCTAAAATGGGCTTCTGGTTATCAGTGCCAATGGACTGCTTACTCATCCCCCTCCCTCTGCCTCCCCCTCCCTCTCATTTCCTACTAGGTGGCCAGGCGCTGGGGCAAACGGAAGAACAAACCCCGCATGACGTACGAGAAACTGAGTCGGGGGCTACGCTACTATTACCACAAGAACATCATTCACAAGACCAGCGGGCAGCGCTACGTCTACCGCTTCGTTTGCGACATCCAGGGCCTGCTGGCCGAATTGGATAAGAAATTGCAGATTTAGCCCGCGACAACCATCTTAAAAAGAGAACCTTTTCTTCATTCCTTACGCACCAAAACTTCAGAAGAGAAGACTCTGGCTTCTTTTGAGCTGCATCTAAAGCAAGAAGGGTGCAAGAAATGCTGGCTGTGGGCTGTGGACCCTCTGGATTGGGCAGGGCAAACCCCCCCCACACACACACACAAAGCAGTGGGGGGTTTTTTTCCCCCTGGGGTGGGGGAGGGAAATTATTGCTCTTGTGGGATGGGATAGGTAAAAATAACCCACCCACCCACCCACCAAAAAATAGAATTGGGGTCTTGATCCTAGCTTTAGAGAAGGAAGGCAGGGAGGCAGCCAATAAACCCTGGCTAAAAGTATAGAACCGTGATAGCGAATCGATGGCATGCGTGCCACAGGTGGCACACAGAGCCATTTGTGCGGGCACATGAGCCCCAGGCAAACTTACCTCACTGCACATGCGTGCGCCTCCCAGTTGATTTTCAGGCCTTTTTCGGCCTGCTAGAGGCTTGAGGGAAGCCTTTGCAGGCTGAAAAATAGGCCCATTTCGTCACTTCTGGTATTTCTGGAAATACTGGAAATGACAAAACAGGCTCATTTTTCAGCCTGCAAAGCCTGCAGAGGCGTCCTTCAAGCATCTGTCAGGCCGAAAAAGGCCTCAAACGGGCCGAAAATCAGCTGGCAAGCACAGTGCAGGTAAGGGGGCAGCAGGGGAAGGGGAATCGTCTGCGCATGCACAAGAGATGTGGGGGGCCTATGCGCATTGCCTTCTGGGTGCTGGCATGCGAGTACGCACGCAATTTTTGTCACAGGAGCCCAAAAAGGTTAGCCACCACTGGTATAGAATATTAGCAGAAGTTTTGCAAATGAAAGCATGTCCGTTACTTCTCTTGATTCAAGGAGTAAGAACTGGCAAGATTTGATCCATATTAAGTATCTCGATTTTCACAGACATTTTGGAAGACTACCTTTCTCGAGGCTATCTGCTCTCCCCGCCATACACACACACACACACACACACACACCATCCGTCTCCTTCTCTGTTAGCCATTATTAAACCATTTAAAACAGGGTCCCGCCTCTCACAATGGAAAAGAGGTTCTCTGTGGCGGGCTCAACTCTTTTGAACTCCTTTTGGTGGTGGTGATGGTGGTGGGGTGGCATGGCCCCTTCCCAGTTGCTTTTAAGCAGACCTTAAGTATCAGTTTCAATTGGTGCCTTCGTAAGGATGATGGCGAGCTGCCTTTTTAAACAGCCGCTGCTGTTTTTTTTGGGGTTTTTTTGAGGTCAAAATTATATTGGTCTCAGCTGGAAATCTGTACATAGCGGTTAGGAAAAATGCAGATTTTCTTTTTGTTATATTGATTGTAAACTACGTTCAATTCTAAAAAAGTTTGGAAATGCAACACAAAATAAAGTTTAAAAAAAACATCATTTTTTAAATGGAAAAAAACCCCCACACCAATTAATTGATGGACTGAGCAAAGGTAGAATGGTAAGCTTTTATGGATAACTTTTTCCCCGCATCCTTCTTGGCTTCTTAAGGAGCTGCAGCCACAGTCAGCCTTATAATCTCACGTGTACAGGCAGTCGTTGACTTAGGACCATAAGGGAGCCTGGGATTTCTGCCGTAAGTTATGACAGTAACTCTCACGACTGATCCGATTTTACAACCTTTTTTTTTTTTTGTGGCAGTTGTTAAAGCAGTTGATGCATTGTGGCCCAGCATTGTAAATCGCATCATGTGACTGGGGAATGCTGCAACCAGCCATAAAAGCAAACTAGTTGCCAAGCGGCCAAAACATTTGGAGGTTTTGACCAATAGGTTCTGTGGGCGTGGCTTGGTGGGCGTGGCAAGGGAAGAATACTGCAAAATCTCCATTGCCTCCCCACCCCACTAACCTGCTTTCCAGCTCCGTTCTCCTGTGCAGGGCAACCAAAGAAGCCCCAGCCAATCAGCTGGGACTCAAGACGCAGAGAATAGATGGGGGCGGGGCCAGTCAGAGGTGGGATTTGCTGGTTCTCCAAACTACTTAAAATTTTTGCTACCGGTTCTCTAGAACTGGTCAGAACCTGCTGAATACCCACCTCTGATGTGATCCCCCTTTTGTGACCTCTGGACAAAGTCCAATGCGGAAGCCAGATTCACTTAACAACCACGCTACTAAAACTCTATGAAGATTCTCAGTCAGCCAGGTCAGTGGTCGCCAACCAGTGGGCCGGGGACCACTAGTGGTCCGCGAGAAAATTTTGGTGGTCCGCAGAGAAATGTCACCCCCAAAGCAATTAATCCAGGCTGCATGGGAACACAAAGCTGCGCCACCCACATAGCCTGCCCAACCCGCTGGCCCCCATCCTTCGGCTGCGTGCAAACCTTACCTTGAGTAGAGCCACGTGAGCTGGAACTGGTAGGTAAGACCAACAGCAGGGGAGAGAAATCCGCCCCGGGGTGGCTTGCTGATGTTGGTGGGAAAGTCAGTCCCATATTCCAGAGCTGCAGTAGTCACAGGACTGGCCCTTTGGTCATCCCGGAGCAGCTGCTCCTCCAGCCGGGTGCACCAGCCTGCCATGGGCTGGAGAAGTTGCTCCAAGATGGCCAAAGGGCCAGTCCTGTGACTCCTGCAGCTCTGGAATATGGGACCGACTTTCCCACCAACGTCAGCAAGCCACTGTCAGTCAAAATTCATATTAGTGTCCCTGAGGTCCAAAAGGTTGGCGACCCCTGATCTAGGTGATGGTTGTCCCAAAGGTGCTTTTTGACTTTCTGGTTTGTTTTTTTCTTTGAAGACATTTCGCTTCTCATCCAAGAAGCTTCTTCAGTTCTGACTGGATGGTGTGAAATGGAAGGATTTATACTTTCAACAGTTCCAAGACGGCTCCACACCCATTTGCACCACTCAGGACACCTTGAAGACACAGATAAATCTCCAAATGGCCTCAGTGACTCTATAAAAGGATGCAAATGACCATCTGTCTGCAAGAAGTATAAATCCTTCCATTCCCCACTAACATCCTGTCAAGAGCTGAAAAAGCTTCTTGGATGAGAAGCGAAATGTCTTCAAAGAAAAAAACCAATTGCCTCTTGAAAAAGAAGCACCTTTGGGACTTCTTTAACAACTGCGGTGATTCACTGAACGGTGGCAAGAAAAATCGTCAAAAGAGGGCAAAACTCGCCAAAATTTCTGGCATAGCAACATAAATTCTGGCCTCCATTGTGGTCATAAGTTGAGGACAACCCTGTACCTTTTGGGTGGGAGGTAGTTTCGGCCATAATTAAGTCACCGGTTGTTAATCAAGGTCTACCTTTAGGAAAGTTAGCCATCCCTCAGAGATGGCAAAACCGTGTTTCCTTTCGGCTTATCCAATGGCGAAGAACGCTGGGAGTTGCAACTCAAAGAGAATGTGAGCTAGTATCACGTTCCAGCATTGTTAGAGAACCAGCATCGCTTGGGGAAAAAAACACCTGGCTTGCTAGCTTTAATGCACAGCACATAGCACAAGGCTGTGGCATCTGCTTATATTCCTGCATTTGTGAAAGGACGAACTCGTCTCCTTGCTGCTTCAAAACACGGCAGTTCGGGAACAGAGGTCGCCTACCGTTTTGCCCGCTGCGCCTTCGCTCTAGGACAATTTATGGTCGTCATACGAAGGGCAACCCATTGAGGAAATTCGAGGAAGGCTTCTCTTTTGTGGGGAAGGGGGAAAGAAAAAGTAACAAAACCAGATCAGTTTCCCTCCACCAAGGAAAAAGAAAAAGTTAGGTGTGCGTTTGTCTTAGCCGTGAGGCGAGGGAAAAGGTTAGAAAAAAAGGCAAAGCCGGATGAAGGAAGATACATTTCAATTTTATTTCAAATCCTTGGAAAATACACGGGTGCTACTTGTTGAGATGTACCGTCAACGTTACTTCCTCTCCCCCCCCAGCCACCCTTGAGAGGGAGGGAGGTGAGGTGAGTGCAGAAAACTGCTTTTACCTCCTTTCGTGAAATTAAGAGCCATCGTTCAGCAGATGGATGGAAGCACTGCAGCTTCTCAGACGGATACCAAGAAGTTCCTCAAAACCCCATCTGCTGTTGCTGCAGGTTTTTGGCAGCCAAGTTCCAACGCTCCAGCCACTGTTGCAAAGTGAAGCCATGGCGGCGCTTGTGAGGAAGAACAAACTGTCCTGGCTGCTCCCACCTAGACAGAGAGGAAACATAAAGGATGTACGAATGCGGCACACCTCCTATGATGACCCGGGTCATGGCACAAAGGCAACAGTCACATAACTAAGAAAAGTCCCTTTAATACTTCCAACTTTGCCTGCAATGTCCAGTTACCTTTGGCTGGAGAAAAAACTCTCCCAAGAACAGTCTTTAAGTGGAGGAAATTCAGTCCAAAAACAAAGTACATATAAACTGTAAATAAAAATCCACATAAACCACGCTGCAGCAATTAACTGGACAGGGCAGGATAAGGAATTGCAGACTTCAAAGGCCAACAAAGCACACAGCTGGGAAGACGCCAGGAACCCAGATAAGGCTCGACAAACAAAGATAACTCACAGTTTACTTCCAGCAAATTTTGCTGTGTGCAGCTTTCCTTTTTAAACACTGTTTTCCCAGCTGCGGATCATGAAGGGAATCAGGACCCTTTCCTCCCCCATAAGCCATGCAACTCATGTTGCTTCCTTCTCCGTTCCTCCCTGCGTACCCTAGGATGAAGAGGGGGTGGGCCTGGATCTTCCCCCGAATTCTCTCTGCCTTGCTCTACCTCTCCCCTGCTCTGCCCAACCGGACTGTGCCCTTCCCCAGTTTCTTCCACAGCCAACAGAGCCACACTCCCACTCCCTGTCAGCTGCTCAACTTCCCCCTCGGAATCAGATTCCAACAGGGGCATGACACCTCCTGTCAGTGTGCATACAAGCTTTACTACATGAGATAACCCTGGAGCAATAACAGCAAATAGAGGTTTGTAATAAATAGTGGTTTTATCTACAAACGAATATACTGTATATTGTACACACATGTACTATAACCAAAAGTCAAATGAACAGCAAATTATAGCAGGGAAGAACACACAGAGATGTTGTGGCCCGCTGGCGGCTGATGGAGATAGCAGCGGAGTTGGGGAGGAGGTTGGGGAGGAACCTGGGCCAGTCTTGGAGGCTGAGGGGGGCTTGGATGAGGGCTCTGCATCAGAGGCAGAGATGGGGTCAGGGCAGGCTGGCAGTTATCAGCTGCCTTCAGACTCAGACAGCAGTGAGGCGGGGGAGTTTCTGGAACCGGTTCCCAGCTTGAGCATGCGCAGGGCTACCAGAAGATAACAATTGAGAAAGCAGGGTTGACTCAGGAGTAAGGCCACACCTTGGAGATGATTGGCCTCTCCCATAGGACATAAAAGAAGAGCGAATGGGATGTGAGCTTTTGCAGGAAGCAATTAGTTCCTCTGGTCCATTCAAGCTTTGAAAAGTCCTGTTTGACTTTGGGTCAAGTTTGGCCTTGCCCTGCATTTGGCAATTAGTTCTCTGGCAGCATTCCAAGGGCAATAAGGTGGGTGTTTATAAACATTCCCCCGAAAGACTGTTTGTGAAGCCTTTCAAGTTGTGAATGAACGTAATTCACAGCCATGAAAATAAAGAGATTTTGCCAGGACTAAGATTTGTGTTTTAAGGAAGCCTAGGTCAGAACAGGCGAAGAGAGAGAGAGAGACACGCACACAAACAGGGCTTCTTATTATTATACAGGCTCTTAAAGGGATAACAGCCCAAAACCTTGCTGACTCATTCTCATCATTACATCAATGCATCATTGCATCATCGTAGCATCTGGCCAACTCTTAAATCACTATACTGACACCTCCCCTCTCTTTGACCAGGCCCTCAATACCTGCTAGGCAGGGTCCTTTCGCTTACCAGTCATCGATAACGGCTTGGATCTCAGGCCGGCGCTTGATGAAACGCTGGCACTGATCCAGCGTGCGTTGGATACAGGGCAGCAGCAACAAGACTTGTTTCTGGTCATGGGACCGCACCTCTTCCACCAAGGCTGGACACAGAAAAGGAAATGAGCTTAGCCATTATTTGTCCTCCCCTTTGAGCAGGTCCAGTGCTTACAGACTGCCTGCTCTAGTCTCTGCAGCTTTCTGCAGCAAGGTTTTTCACGAGTGGTTTGCCATTGCCTTCTCAACAGGGCTAAGAGGCAGTGACTGGCTCAAAGTCACCCAGCTGGCTTTGTGCCGAAGGTGGGACTAGAACTCACAAGCCTTCTGGTTCCTAGCCTGATTGATACCTTAACCCAAATACCTAGATTGGCTCTCCATTTATATTTATCCTAAGCTTAGAAGGAAGAAGAGTCACCGTGGCTTGGTAGATAAAAAAAAAAAGTGCAACAAAACAAAAGGAATAGGAAATAAACACATTCAATTGAGCTAGCAGCACAAAATGCATCTCAATGTTAATAATAATTTACATTACAAAAGCCTTATAGGTACTGATAGAGGTGAATATTTGTAGCTCGAGGTTGAACTGGGAGGCTCCTTGGTGCTCTCTAAGCTTGGAAGTTTTCTCGCCCTTGGCAACGTCATTGCTAGCATGAATGAAACAGATTGTTCGGGGCCATAGGCTGACTCTGTAAACTGCTTAGAGAGGGCTGTAAAGCACTGTGAAGCGGTATATAAGGCTAAGTGCTATTGCTATTTGTAAGGAAACCACTGTCATGCCCCAAATGGGGATGTGGCATGGAGAAATATTATCAAACGTTCGCCTCTTCAAGTGCAGCTTTTCGATTTATCGGATAAAGGATGTGGGAGTGTCTCCTTTCACTTACAGGCTGGGACAGGAAGAGAGAAGGACTGGAATTCTGAAGGAGGAGGATGACCTGTTTTGGAAAATTTCAACGAGAACTCAAGGGTCAGAAAGAAGCAGCAGGGAACAAAATGGAGGAACACATAAGGTAAAGGGGTGGCAGGCTCGAAATTGACAATGAAAGGGGACAACTTTTGGATAATTAGAATTAGGATGGAAGTTATTGAACAATGAATGGAATAACAGTATGTGATAAAACTTGCAAATGTGATCGATAAAGTAATTTTGTGTAATGCATATAGAAATGAAACAGGAATTTAGTTAATATTGTAAAATAAGGCATCCGAATATTGAAAGAAAAATGAAATAAGCCACAATACGAATTGAAGTTGGATTAACTAAGTGTAATGAATATAGTAATATATGAGAATATTTAAAGAAAAATGGAATAAGTTATAGTATGATATGAAATTGAACATGAAAGCTGAATATGTAAACACGGTCATGTTTGTATTGAAATGTAAAAACCTGGAACCACATTGTTCACCCAAAGAGATCTTTTTTAAAATATTAAAAAAAAATATTGCAAAAAAGAAAGAAAGAGAGAGAGAGAAAGAAAGAAAGAGAGAAAGAAAGAAAGAAAAAAAGAGAGAGAGAAAGAGAGAAAGAGAGAAAGAGAAAAAGAGAGAAAGAAAGAAAGAAAGAAAGAAAGAAAGAAAGAAAGAAAGAAAGAAAGAAAGAAAGAAAGAAAGAAAGAAGCAGGAACAGCAAAAAAAATAAATAAAAATTGAAGAGGTTTCCCTACATGGCACATCGGGCTCTGAGGTAGCCTCCAGCTGGTGCTGCAAACTTCTCAAAGCTCTTTGCTTGGAGCTCAGCTGGGCACGCAGGTAAGCAAGCTCCTTCTTCAGCTCCACCAGATGGAGAAGAAGCTGTTCAGGAGCCTAAAAGGGGGGAGATTAAGAAAGCAGAGGCACCGGGGTGAGGAAGAACGCTCACAGATGCCCTATAGGACAATGCACGGATCAGATCAGGGGTGGCAAACTCAAGGCCCGTGATGTGGTCGGATGCGGCCCGCAGGGCTGCCCTACTCTATTCGATGTGAAGAGGGAAGATCGGGCCAGCGTAGCTTCGGCCCAGTCCACCCAATGCGAAGAGGAAACATGCCAGCAGTTTGGGGAGTGGCGTCAAGCTGGCCACGCCCACCCAGTTCGTCACGCCCACTCAGTCAGCCACACCCAGTGAGTGGCGTCAAGCGGGCCAGGCCCACCCAGTTGGCCACATTGGCTTCCACTTTATTTCCCCCACCCGCAAAGTTTGCCCTTATTCCTTAATGATTATGATTAAGGTGGGAGGGTGGGTGAAGAAGAAGGGTCTAGAACAGTCCAAATGAATTTCATCTGTCGCTAGATGAATCCAGCAAATTACACCAGAGAGGCACACCCTACCTTATAAAGGGGAAAGTTAATTCCTTTGCATACATTGAGAAAGGCCTGGTTTTCAGAGGATGCTGTCCAGCTTAAGTGATGGATGGAAAGTTTGTGGGCTGGGATGGGTTGAGACCTGAAAGACAATGGCAGAAAGAAGTGGGTTTTCCCCCCCGCTCCCTCTTCCAATTGAACCTACATCAATCACATTGACCATCGTTAAGTCATGCCAATCCTCCACGCATAAAAAGAAAATCAAGCCTATTTTCTTTTTGTTAAAAAAAACAAACAAACCTGAGGCCAACCATGCTGCTGAAACGTTGCATCGAGGAAAGGCAAGTGCCAAGAAAGGTTAGAAATTAGGTTCGGTCCACCTCATTCATAGGAAATGAACCTCAGGAAGAAGAGAAACTGGCATTTTTAATTTTAATTTTTAATAAGAAAATGCTTTTACCGATAGCCCATCTGTCAGCCTTGGAAGCATTTTTTTACTTGGAAACTTCAAGTTTGCCACATTCAGTGCCTGGGAATTTGGGAGGGGGGATTTCATAGTGAGGTAGAAGATTAGACCACAACAACATTCTTTTCTCAGAGAGTCAAGGACAAGTTGCCCTGCACCTGGAGGGGAGCGACTGGAGGGATGTCTCCAGTTGGGATGAAGATTTGCTTGGTCCATGTGATGGATGTAGGGGATGAGTCTTTGATTTCTCTTTTGGGAAGGGAAAACCCAGAACTCTCAGATTCGGGTTTTCCCAGATGTGCCAATAGGACAACTCTAATAAAATAGAACTTTGAGGAAATGTTTGTCTCGGAGTTTCTTGATTTGGAGTTGGTTAGTTGGAATGACGACACCATCTGCTTTTCATTCTCCATCATCAAATGGTAATGCCATGCCCTGGGTAGAGTCGGACTCTAAGGGAGAGAAGGAACAGCCGACAGGGAGTGGAAGTGTGGCTCTGGAGGTTGTGGAGGAGGCTGGGGAAGGGCAGAGGCCGGCTGGGCAGTCAGAAGAAGAACTAGGGCCATCCCCTCTACATACAAGGACATGCAGGAGGAACGGAGAAGGAAACAACTTGGCTTATGAGAGAGGAAGTGGCCATGATCCCTCTCATTGGTTGCAGCTGGGGAAACTAGTATATAAGAGAGACAATTACAACACAGCATTGCCAGAAGCAAAGCGTGTGTTATTTTGGGCTGAAGTTATATTAGTTGGCGTCCTTCCAACAGACTGTGCCTTGTTATCTCCATGAATTTGGTAATCACTTATCCTGGTCCGTTGTGGACATTTCGTCATTGTAGTTTGTTTGGTTTTTTATTTCACCTCTATCTGCTGATTAATTTTGGACTGTGTTGCTTTCTTTTGAAGACTATTTTTGAGTACGTTTTATCTCCCACTGAGAATTATTGAACAATGGGGCCAAGTTGGAGGCATTAAAGGACATTTATTTACGTATTGGATTTTGTTACGCTTGTGTTACACTCTGGGTCATCACAGATAACCACTTTCTCAAGCCACCCAAGTCACTTCTCCCAGCTGAATTATTTCTCAAGGGGAAAAAAAGGGTAGCAAATAGGTCTCTTTCAGGCTTTGGAAAAAAGAAAGTCCCTGGAAAAGGACTCAAAACACCCACACCCCACAAATCAGAGTTACAACCAGCCACACGGAGACGCCTGGAGATGACTCACCCAGCGACCTGACAGGTCAGCAGAGAAGGCAGGGAAATGGTTTTGAAATGCTGGACCTCACGGTCTACCCTATTGTGAAGCTTCTGGGTCTCCAGCTGCACCTGCTGTGCCTGAGGGAGCAGCTTTTTCTGTATGAAATCCTGGATCTGAGGGAGAGGCGCGCTGTAAGTCAACCGGGTTACAAACGAGCACAGAAATAACTTTCAGGGGAGCCATTTTGCCATTTTCATCCCACGTCTTTTCTTTAGAAAGGGTTGTGGCTTCAGGACAGAAGGCGTAATCCAGGATTTCCCCAACCTTGGTAATTTTTAAGGTGCACGGACTTCCGGTCCCCGAATTCTCCAGCCAGCCATTGAATTCTGGGAGTTGAAGTCCACCGCATCTTAAAAGTGGCCCAAGGTCGGGGAAACCCTGGTGTAATCTGCGTGGTGAAGGTTTGAAATCTTAATATCTCAAATCTTGAAAGGAGTCGAACAGGGGATGAGCAAAGAAGCTGTGACAGACGGGGTGAATAAGCCATCTCACCTCAACCTGGTTCTTGCGAAGCTGGGATTTGAGAAACGAAGTGCCTTTGATAAGGGCCCGAATATGTTGCTGTTTCTCGTTCTGTGGGAGGGAAGGAGAGAAATTGACCCAAGGGATGAAAGTCCTTCAATGAACTGTCTCATTTTTCCAGTCCCTCAATACCAGGAGTTTGACTGGAAGGAGTTTTTAATCAGGGGTGGGCTGCTACGGGGTTCGCCTGTGTTCAAGCAGATCCATTGCTAACGTTATGGCTGGTTCAGTGAACCGCCAAATCTCACCTCTGGCTGGCCCCTCCCACCTCACCCCTCCCCTCCCACCCCTCCCAGGAGTCTCCACGTGGCCCGTTTTGGATGCAAGGCCCAAGGGGAGGCTTGGGGAGGGGGGAAAACGGGGCTCCCGGAAGTCCAAAAATGGGCCTGTTTCCAGCCTCCGGAGAGAGTTTTCGCCCGAGCCTGGGGAAGACGAAAACGCCTCCCCCCACCCCCGCCATGGTTCAAGAGGCTGACCAGGCCACGTCCACCGTGGCCACACCCACCCAGCAATGGGGCAGAGAACCTGTTGCTGAAATTCTTGAAGCCCACCCCTGGTTTTTATCCTTTCCTCCAGCCCCAGAAGGTAACCAGGACATTGGGAACAAAGTTGGAGCTAATAAAGATTATTTGACTGTTTTGCCTTTGTGCCACGTCCCGGGTCATCACACCTGCCTTCCTCTCTCCCTCCTTCCCATTCCTTTCTCCTCCTCCTGCACACCTACCACCAAATGGCGGAAGTCCAAGATGCGCTGACGTTTCGCCTGCAAGTTCTGAAGCTCTGCGTACCGGACCTTCATGGCTTCTTCAAGTCCCTGGCATCCACGCAGCAGACCGTCCCTGTATCCTCGCAACCTCACTGCCCGGAGCTCTAGCTCAAACACCGTTCTGGGGTTGCAAGGGGAAGAGACTGAGTCAGGCCTAACTGACAGACCTGGTTGTTTCAGTAGGCGTGTGGGAGTGAAGTGCAGGCAGTCCTCGACTCACAACAGTTCATTTAGTGACCGCTCAAAGTTACGATGGCACCGGAAAAAAAAAAGTGACTGAGAACCGTTTTTCACAGTTACGACCTCTGAAGCATCCCCATGATCATGTGGTCAAAATTCAGATGCTCGGAAATGGGTTCATACTTGCGACCGTTGCTGTGTTCCGTGGGCCGTGTGATCCCCTTTTGACGAGCACAATCAACAGAGAAGCGAGACTCACTTAACAACCATGTGACTAATTGAATAACTGCAGTGAGTCACTTAACAAATGAAGGCAAAATAAGGTCGTAAAACGGGGCAAAACTCACGTAACCAATGCCTCGCTTAACAGAAATTTTGGGCTCGTGGTCGTAAGTTGAGGTAGTTCCACATTTGGGACCGGAATTTTCATTGGTATGCAAGGCGCCCGATTTTATGATGATGGTGATTACCTTTTTTGCCTTGCTTTTGTTAAGCAAATCACGGCAATGAAGCAAATCTTAATTTAATTAATTAAGCAAATCCAATTTCGAATTAAGGGGAGCTCAATTAAGAAAATCGGGCTTCCCCCATTGACTTTACTAGTGGGACGCAGACTGGGATGGTTGCAAGGGGCTATGGCTTGATCCTGGGATGCTGCAACAGGTGCCCAATACATGCCAGTTCCCAGGAGCCCAAATTTTGACCATGTGTTTATGGGGATGTTGCAATGGTCGTAAGTGTGAGGATGGTTATGACTTTTTTCAGTTGCTGTTGTAGCTTCAAACAGTTGTAGGTTCAGCGTTCCTTGAAGGCCTGGCAGGCCACCACAAAACTACCCTTACCCAGGCATAGAATAGAATCACATGGTTGGAAGGGACCTTGGAGGTCTTCTAGTCCAACCCCCTGCTTAGGCAGGAAACCCTACACCACTTCAGACAAATGATTGTCCAATCTCTTCTTAAAAACTTCCAGTGTTGGAGTTTTCACGACTTCTGAAAGAAAATTGTTCCACTGATTAATTCTAACAGTCAGGAAATGTGTCACCAATGCGGAGTTTTGTTCAGGAGATATATTCTCAGTGTGCCCAGAGAGAGAAGTGTCTGCCGTATCTACCTAGGATTGAACTCACAGCCTCCAGATTGTAAGGCATGGGCTCTACCTCGAGGGCACCACACCACTCCCTTATCATCACTCCCTCATCTGAAGCCCATCTGGAAGAGTCTTACCTGGCCAGGATGGAGCGCTCCGATCCATCAGACAGGAGACTGTGCATCTCCTTAACCAGGGCCTCAAGACGTGCCAGCAGGCCTTTCTCCTCAGCATGTAGAGGAATCTGTTGCACACACAGCACCTCACATTTGCTCCAGCCCTCCTGTCCCATGCAAAGAAAAGAGACCAAGGCGACAATTTTCCCCCATATACTATACAGGAAATCCACCAGGTGAATTCAATCTCCCCCTTTCCCCCATTCAGAATGTTCCATCCAGAAACAGGCTGTTCCAAACCTCAACGGAGCAGCTCTGGCTGTGAAATAAACTGTTCTAACCGCAAAAACGGACTTTGGGGGGAAAAAAGTGTTTTGAGATCCAATTTATTCACCTGTATAAGAACCCGGACAGAAGGTAGCTTGTCTGCAGAATCCGAAACATCCTGCAGGTGTGTGCTGTCATAACGGAACCTAAAGAAGAGAGCAAAATGGGGCTTGCAGAGCTGACATGCCGATGGAAAACCCAGAACCAAGCTTTATTTAACTATTTAATTTATATGCCACCTATCTCACTGTAGCAGCAACCCTGGGCTTCCACGCCCACAAATGGTAGCTGGGCTAAGAGATGCATGCGCCTTGCCCAGAAGTATCTAGTTAAATGCTACGGGTCAGATTAAAACTTGAATCCAAGTCTCTGCAATCTCAAACTTTATCCTCTTATCACAGTGTTTTTTTAAAGTGAGCTCTGAGGAACCGCGGAGGGCCCCCCCTCAAGAACCCCTCAGGGGCTTGTGAAATCATTTCCCAGGTATTGAAGGCACCTGCAGAAATTTAAAAACAATACCACCCTTATTTATTTGTTTACAAAAAGAAGCAGGGGTGTTTTTTTTTTCCATTAAAAAATGAATTTGTTTTATCTAGCGAGGTTCATATTGCTATTTTTACCTCTAGAAATATACACTCTACAAATGTGCCGGCTTTCATTTTTAATATGGTAAATATCAACAAACGTAACCCATACAAGCAAAAGCTCCTCTGGGGTCTTCCATAATTTTAAAAGTGAGAAGGGCTCCCAAGAGCAAGAAACGCTATTGTGCCATATACTGGCCTTTGGGGCAAGATTTACGTGGGCAGAACTACTTTTGTGAGCGGGAGCTGGCTTGGTGGCATGTGAAAGCTTCCCAGAATTCCCTAGAGCTGTGATGGCAAACCTGTGGCACGTGTGCCAGAGGTGGCACGCAGAGCCATTTGTGTGGGCACGCGAGCCCCAGCCAAACTTACCTGCACTGCGCATGCGTGTCTCTCTCAGCTGATTTTCGGCCTGGAAGTGACAAAATGGGCTCGTTTTTCGGCCTGCTTCCGTCGAGCCCAAGTGGGCGAAAATGGCCTCAAATGGGCTGAAAATCAGCTGGGAGGTGCACGCATGCACAATGCAGGTAAGGGGTGTTGTGTATGCATGCCCAGGGCCCGCTGAAGTGCACTGCATTATGGGTAAGTGGTAAGCATGCTATTTCACGCGTGCCTGCTTTTGGCACACCGCACCGAAAAAGGTTCACCATCACTGCCCTAGAGCTTTGGGAATGGTCTAAAGCATTTTGGGAAATCTCACGGGTCTTAAGTTAGCCAGCACTTATTGAACTAGCCGAAAATGGAAATTATTACATGCATGTTGATCATGACCTCAAAAGCAATTCCATGAAGCAGCTGAATACTCTTGCCAGCAATGGAGACGCCTTCAGTTTTACCCTGGGAAGGACACCATAATCAAGTCCTTCTTAGCCAAAGGTCAGGACCTACTTGAGGGCAGCCACATCTTGGGAGATGTTGATCTTGTCCGTCAATTCCTGCAGCTTCACTGTGTTCTGACAGGCCAAGTGCTCCAGAGCTAAAAGGATATGGGCAGGAGGATAGGTACCGACAACTTTCTGTAGGAAGACGCAAAACAATAGATGAGATTGCCCTTGATCCAACCTCTAAGCCAAGCCTTCACTGTCACAGCTAGCAATATCCAATGTTTGGGCTAAAGAGCTGTGGTGGCGCAGTGGTTAGAATGCGGTAGTGCAGGCTAATTCTGCTGACTGCCGGATGCCTGCAATTTGGCAGTTCAATTCTCACTAGGCTCAAGGTTTTGACTCAGCCTTCCATCCTTCCGAGGTGGGTAAAATGAGGACCCAGATTGTTGAGGGTAATAGGCTGACCCTGTAAACCACTTCGAGAAGGCTGTAAAGCACTGTGAAGCGGTATAGAAGTCTAACTGCTATAGACTGCTCATGCAAGTTGAGCTGCATGTGCACGCATGTGTGCCGGCCAAACGCTCACGTGCTCTGGTTCCGAACAGGCCGCGGCCCAGTAGTGGGCTGTGGCCCAAGGTTCGGGGGCCTCTGATATAGCTGACCTTACAAGTATGGGTTACCAACAGATCAAATGCAACCCCGGCCTCATCTGCAAACCCCAAAGTGGGCTAAAAATGTGGATTCTTTTGTTTGGAGGTTAAAAAAAGAAAAATCACCTTGGTCCCTGCAGAGATTTATGGCTATTATGATGTCATTGTAGTTTATCACTATGTATTTTTCTTGTGTTGGTTTTTAATCTTGTCTTTGTTACTCAGAATATTTCCAACTCCCAGATTCCCCGCACCAGCCTGAATTCTGGGAGCTGAAGTCCACCCATTTCTCAAGTTGCTAACTTTGAGAAGCCCAGATCTAAATATTTCCATTGTATCTAGCAGCCTTGATAATGTCCAGTTAAGCGTTCCACTGTTCTTAAGGAAGGTGCAAAGAGCATCTCCGAGGCTAAAAAACATTGTTTACCAATGCTGTGTATTGCACTGCTTTCATTTCTCTTTATCTGGCTGAACTACAGCTCCTAGCAGCCCCAACCAAAGGGACCTGGGAACAATGTCTTTAAGGCAGGAACTTTCCCACCCTTGCTCCAGTATGATAGTCTGCCTTACCTCCACGGTGCTCAACCAATGTTGGTAAGTATTATTCATCTCTTCCTCGTTCGTCCCTCTGCCAGGAAGAACCAAAGAAACACATCAGAACTTTAAAGAGGGAGCTAGTGAGCGGGCGTGTTCACACATGACATTAGACCCGGCTTGTTTTCTATGCCAAAGGCCCCAATTGCAGAAAGGTGAGAGGAAGGATCCTTACGGAGAACTCCCAGAGATGCTGTTTTCAAAGAGAGTCTTCAGGAACTGGAAACGCAGCTGGCAGCTTTCCTGGACATCCCGCTAGGGGAAAAAAAAAAAGGCATAAAACCTGAGCTGAGGCTTTTATGCAATCCGCATCTTTCACTTTTCCATTCCTTTAGATTTTTGCTTTAGAATAGAATAGAATTCTTTATTGGCCAAGTGTGGTCGGACACACAAGGAATTTGTCTTTGGTGCAAATGCTCTCGGTGTACATAAAAGAAAAGGTACATTCGTCAAGAATCATCAGGTACAACACTTAATAATAGTCATAGGGTACAATAAGCAATCAGATCATACTAGGAAACAGTCAATATAAATCGTAAGGATACAAGCGACAAAGTTACAGTCATACAGGCCCAAGTGGAAGGGGATGGGTGAAAAGGATTGATGAGAAGATTAATAGTAATAGTAGTGTAGACTTGGTAAATAGTTGGACAGTGTTGAGGGAATTAGTTGTTTAGCAGAGTGATGGCGTTCGGGGAAAAAACTGTACTCATGTCTAGTTGTTTTGGTGTGCAGTGCCCTATAGGGTCGTTTTCAGTGTAGAAGTTGAAACAGTTTATGTCCGGGATGTGAGGGGTCTGTAAATATTTTCACAGCCCTCTTTTTGACTCAGGCAGTATACAGGTCCTCGATTGAAAGCCGGTTGGTAGCCATTGTTTTTTCTGAAGTCATAATTAACCCCTGAAGTCTGTGTCTGTCCTGTTGGGTTGCAGAACCAAACCAGACAGTTTTAGAAGTGCAGATGATACTCAACCAGCGCAAGGAGAATTGGTATTCAAGTATTCAAAATATATGTGTTGTCTGCATCTCAAAACTGAAGGGCAACCATTTGCACAGATTCACCCCCAACAGCCTGTGCCTGCCTTCAACAGGGAAGAGACACAGGGCAGAAAACATCCTGTAGCCAAGAAGGCTCCACACCCGTTGGCACATCTCGGGCGACCCCAAGGACAAGACAAACCTCCAAGTGGCCTCAACGGCTCTCTAAAAATGTCTACGGAGATTCTCAGTCATCCAGGTCACGGCTGTTCCAAAGGTGCTTTTTTAGCAACTGGACTTTCTGGTTTTTCTTTCTTCTTCTTCTTTGCTTTGAAGACGTTTCGCTTCTCATCCAAGAAGCTTCTTCAGCTCTGGCTGGATGGTGGAGAATGGAAGGATTTATGCTCCTTGCAGACAGCTGGTTTGAAAGAGGGGTCGAAGAGACCACCTAGGACAACCCTCTTTCAACCGAGGGGAAGGGAAATGACGTCATCTATCTCCAGTCTACAACACAGTCCTTGCAATAGTTCCAAAAAGGCTCCACGCCCATTTGCACCATTCAGGTGACCCTGGTAAACACAGGTGAACCTCCTTAATGACTCTCTAAAAGGATGCAAATGACCAGCTGTCTGCAAGGAGTATAAATCCTTCCATTCCACAATATCCAGTCAGAGATGAAGAGGCTTCTTGAATGAGAAGTGAAACGTCTTCAAAGAAAAAAACAAGGAAGTCCACTTGCCTCTTGAAAAAGCACCTTTGGGTCAGAGGAAGACAGCAAAGGTCAAGTGGAAGCAGCAGAGTGCAGAGTGTCCAAAAAAGGCAGAGGGAGGGAGACAGGCAGTTGAAGCATACCCCATAGTTGTAAACATTGGCATTGGGGTGTTACAATGGCCCTAACTTTGAGGACTGGGCACCAAATACTATTAATGTAGCGCTGCTGTAACTTTGAATGATTTATGAATTCTTCCCAAAGCTGTGGGCCCCAAGGATAACTTAAAACCTTTCTCTCTCTCTCTCTCTCTTTTTTCTTCCTGCAAAGCAGTAAACCAGGCCTTACCAGGACTTCAGGCTTCGAGGTGGGGAACTGAGGCTCTGGGTGTCTGCCACCAAAAACCACGACCATCTTGCCTTTCCTAGAAGAAAACCACAAGAGGGTTTTAGATGGACCTTTGCTTTCCACACTTGAATGCCGCAGATATTCTTCCCCAGGCCAGCTGGCTGATAAGAGACCAGCTTGGTTCACACGTTGTGCTAATTCATCCTGGTTCAGAACCGGTGTAGCGCATTTGGTGTCTTCCAGAAACATGGACTTCTACTCCCGTAATTCCTTAATCATTCTAGGATTCCACACTTCAAGGAAGTTACCACCTAGGGAAGGCTGCCTTAGCATAACGCATGAATCCAGCGTACTGTGTCTATCCTCATTCATCCATGGCTAATCAAGCCACAGTTCAGTACAAGGGTCTTCCAACTTGGCAAGTTTAAGACTTGTGGACTTCAACTCCCAGAATTCCTGAGCTAACACAACTGGAGGAGGAATTCTGGGAGTTGCAGTCCACAAAGTCTTAAAGCTGTCAAGTTTGAAGAGCCTTGGTTTAGAGTACATGTGACCAGGGGTGGCTGCTGGGAGTTCGTACGGGTCCGGGCGATCCTCTAGTTAAGATTCTGCACAATTCGGCGAACCCACAAATCCCACCCCTGGCTGCCCCCTCCTCCCCCGAGTCCCCACGTGGCCTGTTTTGGATGCGGGTGAGTGCAGGGCCTGTGTGGAGGCCTGGGAAGGGCAAAAAACGGGGCCCCCAAAGGCCAGAAATGGGCCCGTTTCCAGTCTCCAGAGGCCGAGGAGACCATTTTTGTCCTCCCGGAGGCTCAAGGAAATCCTCCGGAGCCCAGGGAGGGCAACACCCCCCTGCCTTGGTGCAGGAGGCTGACTAGGCCACGCCCACCCTGGCCACGCCCACCCAGCAACCGGGCAGAGCGCCAGTTGCTAACCTTTATGAAGCCCACCCCTGCATGTGACCCAAAATCACCCTTTCTTCCTCCACCATACTAAAGCTCCACCAACTAGGATCCCCCCTTGCCAAAAGGAGGTAAAGGGACCTAGGAACTGAGCCCGTACTTCTCCATCTCTTTCAAATGCTCCAAATGTCCCTTGACCTGGGCAGCTTTCTTGTGCAGTTGTTGCCGTTCTGCTGTGATCCGGGCGGAGTAGGCCTTCAGGAGCAAACGGCGCCGTTTGGCATCCCAGATCTGAGTTGTTTCTGGGATGGCCTCTAGATGACAAGGAGAACAAGATGTTGCAAATCAGGGTGTGCAGATATGAACAGCTGAACCTACAGCTGAACCTACTTGCTCTATTTGATGGGTTTCGATGCTGGGATTCAGTCAAGGGGAGTGTGATGACCCAAAGGGACGTGGCACAAAGGCAACACAGTCAGATAAGCAATTTATCCCTTTATTGTCTCCAACTTTGCCCCCAATGTCCAGGTTACCGTCGGGCTGGAGAAAAACTCTCCCAGGAAGAGCCTTTGACTGTAGAAAATTCAGTCTAAAACAAGGCACGCACAAACTGTAACTTAAAATCCAAATAAACCAAACTGAAGCAATTAGTTTGGCAGGGCAGGAGCAAGAATTTCAAACTTGAAAGCACGGCAAAACTCACACAGTTGGGAAGACGCCAGGAACCCAGATAAGCCACGAGGATACAAGATAAAGTCACGTTTGCTCCCAAGAGCTTGCCTTTTTTATACACTGTGTTCCCAGCTGCAGCTAATGAAGGGAATCGGGGCCCTTTCCTCCCCCGTAAGCCATGCAACCCACGTTGCTCCCTTCTCCGTTCCTCCCTGCATGCCCCCAGGATGAAGAGTGGGGTGGGCCTGGGTCTTCCTCTAAATTCCCTCTCTCCTGCTCTGCCCAACTGGACTTTGCCCTTCCCAAGTTTCTTCCACAGCCAAAGGAGCCACACTCCCACTCCCTGTCAGCTGTTCGGCTTCCTCCTCTGAGTCAGATTCAGACAGGGGCATGACAGGGGGCTTATAAACACAGCCCAACAATCTTCTAAGGAGTTCGCAGTGGTGTCCAAACATTTTCGCTGTTTGTTCTCAACTCACCACCGGCTACGAACTCGCGCTGGGCCAATCCTATCTGGAGGTCCAACTGCTGATCTTCCTCCTTCAAGCGAGAGATGGCCTGGATTAGATGCTTGCGACGTTCTTTATCCGATTCAGAGGCACTGGGATTGCCCTGAGGAGAGAGATCAAACTGCAACGTTACCAAGGAGGCCATCTTATCCATCTTTTAGTTCTTGCTTCCTATCTGAGCACACTCCTAGAATTATCCCTCCTGCTCCTTCTTTAAAAGGTTCACAGCTGGAAGCCCATCCTTCTGTCATGCCCCATCCCCCCTCTTCGGAGCTTGAATCTGTGAGGGAAAAGGAGCTGGAACCTGAGCCGACAGAGATTGAGGGGGCAGCTTTATTGGCTGAGGAGGAAAATGGGGAAGGGCAGGGCCAATCAGGCCAGGGCCTTTCAGGATTAGAACAGCTTGTAGACAGGGAGGAACAGGGGCAGGATGAACATGTGAGATAGAGCTTTCCAAATGGTGGAAGCCATATCCTTGACTTTCCTGCTACTGCCGGATTCCAATTGCCACCGGCTCAAAGTTGACAGGGAACAGTCAGAACATTAGGAGAGCCCCATTTCCCCCACCTTCAGCCCAAACCTTTGGAGACGAAGCAAATTCTTCACCTCATTTTGTTCTTACTCACCTCACTTTTTTCCATCTGCTGATACCTATGTGACAAAAAATAGGATCAAGGACACAAACGTTTCACTTGTTTGGAAATCCTTCGGGCTCGGCCTTGAGTAAGGTACAAAAACCAGCACGTTTTCTTTTTTTTTGAAAGGTAGCAATTAGTCAAAAGAAGACTGTGCAGCAGAAAGAATCCGTATTGTGATTGACATCTTTAAAATACGGCAACGTTTCCCTTGGTGCACAACTTGGTGCAACATTTCCCTTGGTGCACACTTGTCATCTCAATAAACAGAGGGCAAAGCCATATTGCTCAGGGCTATTTTTATAGGAGCAGCTCTAGTAAAAGAATTTTGCATGTCTGAATGTCCTTCCCCCATCCCTCAGTTTATTTTTTTGTGAAACAGGGAAGGGTTCGCTGAATATTTTCTCAAGTTACTTTCTTGGCCTGGACTCAAACTCCTCTTCTCTGATTAGGGCCTTCCTGTTTTTCCAAGCCATTCCATACACCCTTTAACAACATTTGACTGCCAATTTTTTTTTTCCTGGATAAACCTAATGCAAAGTTCCATCTGCAGTATCGAACTGCGTAGAACGTGGAACAAGGCTCTCATATTTCAGTGTTGCCCTTGTGCCCTAGAATGTCTACAAAACAAAATCCTAGCATCTCCGCAGCAGTTCAAGAAATTCCAAGATCACAATCCCCTTTTTGAATTATTACCATCTGGCAGACGGTACAGGATAATAAAAACAAGGACAAACAAGCTGAAAAACAGCTTCGATCCCAGGGCAGTAGCTCTGTTGAATTCTACTGTATAGTGCAGCGTTGGTGCAATGTCGGGGTTTTCAATTCAATGTGTGGAGTGTGAAGGGTGTCTGTTGTGTTTATTTTCATGGTCATGATGAGCACTGAAGATGGTGTTTGATTTCGTTGTATGAGGTGCAGTGACAATAAAGTAAACTAAACTAAACTGTTCAAGAAACAGCATTGTTAGGTGTTATTTTAGTCAGCAAGGGAAGATTATGATGGGGGAACTCTCAAGTGACTCCTACATCCTATACGTCAATGCATGACATAACTTAGATTTTTCAATCTAAACAACCTGAAAATGTATGGACTTTTGACGTTGGCAAAGCTGGCTGAGGAATTCTGGGAGTTGAAATTCACACATCTTCAAGTTGGCAAGGTTGAGAAGCACTGGGTTAGATAGTGTTTCAGCAAAATTGTATGATCAGAGCTAGGCTTTTAAATCTCTTTCTCTTTCCACCATTAGCAGCAGATTGAATCAACCAAGGTATTCTAAGACTACATTGTTATTACAATGCTTTTCATTGTTTTGCTCCAACCAATAGGAAGTATTAGGGGAGAAATAAATATCCATGATAGTTGGGGGTTTCAGGGTTAACCGCTCAAGCCCATGAAGGGAAAGGGAGAAGAAAATTTATCGAGAAAAAGGGTTAAGAAAAGGATACCACAGTACATTCCCACGGATCTTCTTGACAGTCCTGCAATATAAGCAAGGCGAAAGTGTTCAATGGAGTACAGGATACACCCTGAAAAATGTACTTAAGGTGCAGAATAATGTGGGTCAAAAAGTCAGCCCCAGGGCAATGAAGGTTGTGCTGGAGTGCTACGTATATACTTGGACAACAAAGGGAAGTATATAGATAGGCTGCCGAGGCTTTTTTTGAGTCTCTGAGGGGGGGCAAAAATAGCCACAAGTGGGCTGAAAATCAGCTGGGAGGCGCATAATGTGCAGTGCAGGTACGTCTGGCTGGAGCTTGCATGCCCACACAAATGGCTCTGTGTGCCACCTGTGGCACGTGTGCCATAGGTTCACCATCACAGTCTTAAGCCATGTGGCTGGGTTTACACAGTCCTGCCAAGAATGTAATACGGGTTAATGGAGAGGCATTTTCTGTAAGCAACACCAGAATGTTTCCTTCCTGCCTTCCTTACAGGATTAGGCCAGTAATTTCATTTAACAACCAGTTCTCTGAAGTGCTTAGAATGTTAACAACCGGTTCTAGTGAATAGATGCGAACTGATAGAATCCCATCCCTGATGGCGAACCTTTTTGTTGTGGTGTGCCGAAAGCGTGTGTGCTGGCACCCACAATGCAATGAGCCCCCTCTGTGCCGGCATGTGCAACACCCCCCGCCCTGCCCCCATACTTGCACTGTGCATGTGTTCACCTCTCAGCTGATTTTTCAGCCCATTTGAGGCCATTTTCGCTCTCCCAGAAGCCTGAGGGAAGCCTCTGGAGGCTGAAAACAGGCCCGTTTTGGCACTTCTGGTATTTCTAGAAGGCCCGTTTTTGGGCCTCCTGAGGCTATCCATTGCTGGAAGAAATTATTCTACTCCTTACTGGCAGGGGATGATGGGATCTCTAATCCAAATCCTTCTGGGCTTCAAATCTAGAAATTCTAAACCCTTCAAAGGGTTACAGACTAAACAAAGGTAGAAGCCTCAAGGAAAATTCTGAATACAGGTAATGCTTGACTTATGACAATTGAACCCAAAATTGTTATTTGTTAAGTGAGTTTTGTCCCATGACTTTTCTAGCTATAGTTGTTAAGTGAATCACCACAGTTGTTAAGTTAGTAACCTGGCTGTTAAGTGAATCTGGTTTCCACATTGACTTTGCTTGTCAAAAGGTCGCAAAAGGGAATCACATGACCCCGGGACACAGCAACGGTCATAAGTATGAACCAGTTGCCAAGCATCCGAACTTTGATCACACGATCATGAGGAGATACTGCCACGATTTTTAGCGTGAAAAATGATCCTAAGTCACTTTTTTCAGTGCCGTTGTAACTTTGAACGGTCACTAAATGAGCTCTTGTAAATCAAGGACTACCTGTATCCCATCTCCATCTTTGTATTCTTACCTCTGATGATGAACATGGCGGATGATATATTTCCAGATGTCAGCACACTGACCTGAGCACATTCTGGGGGTGAAGCATGAGATGGAAGTAGCAGTAAAAATCCATGAGATGGATAACTTATATTAAGTTCACATATTTCTCAAAGTAATTCTCTATATAACTCCAAACTATTGGAACCATACCTATAATCCTATCCTGAAACAGTATTGATATACTATTAACTATGTTGCAAACCAGCACCTGCATTTCCTAAGTCGGATGCGAGAGTACATCTTTCTCCTCTATCCTGACCACAGAGGCACGATTGAGAGCATTTTTTAACAAACTGCATCCCTGTTTGGTTTAGTGGCAGCAGTTCCTCTGATAGAAAGTCCATACAGAGAGTGGTGAGGACAATGGAGAAGACTGTAGGAAGCTCACTTCCCGTTATTCAGGATAGCGCTTATAAGCACTATGTGCTTAGCCCTCAAAGCATTGTTAGAGACCCTACACACCCACTTTACAGTCTGTTTCTGTTGCTTCCCTCGGGGAGGAAGTTTCAAAGTATTTTTAGCAGGACTTCCAGATTCTGTAACAGTTTTGTTCCCTATGCCATCTGTCCAGTAAACTTGCAAGATTCATTATTCTCACCATATACACGTATACATTCGAACCAAACTGTGTTGTTTCTCTGTGTCATATCATATATGTGGATATATCCATAATTTTGTACTTATTTATTTTGTCATGGTTTATTTAGTGTTTTATTGGAGGGGGTGAAACTTTGCAAGCTGCATGCAACAAAATGTCATTCTAATGTATAACTTTGTATTTATTTTGTCATGCTTTATGTAGTGTTATATTGGAGCTGCATGCAACCCTTTCAGAGCTGCATGCAATGAAATTTCATTCTCATGCATAATTTTGTATTTATTTATTTTGTCATGCTTTATGTAGTGTATATTGGAAGTGGTGACGTTTTGAGAGCTGCAAATAGCGAAATTTCTTTCTAATGCATAATTTTGTATTTACTTTGTCATGGTTTATGTAGTGTATATTGGAGGTGGTGACCCTTTGAGAGCTGCATGCAAAGACATTTCATTGCAATACACAACTTTGTATTTATTTAAAGTGGACACCTAACATCAAAAACATCATCAGAAAAGCACAACAAAGAATGTTCTTTCTGCGCTAACTCAGAAAGCTCAAACTGCCTAAGGGGCTGCTGATACAGTTCTACTTCTCCCACTTGTGACTGTATGACTGTAACTTTGTCGCTTGTATCCTTACAATGTTTATTGACTGTTTCCTAGTATGATTTGATTGCTTATTGTACCCTGTGACTATTAAGTGTTGTACCTTATGATTCTTGGCTCTTGACGAATGTAACTTTTCTTTTATGTATACTGCGAGCATTTGCACCAAGACAAATTCCTTGTGTGTCTAATCACATTTGGCCAATAAAGAATTCTATTCTATTTATTTTGTCATGTTTTATGTAGTGTATATTGGTGTATATTGGAAGCGGAGACCCTTTAAGAGCTGCATGCAACGACATTTCATTCTAATGTATGCCGATTAATGTACATTCAAAGCTGCAATAAAGGTATTCTAAGCACTAAAATTACATAATCTACTGTATTATAAACCAACATTCTCCATTTGCAGTCGAGGGCCAATTACAATATTATTAAAAATAGTTCAGTCACCCTGTTAAGGTGCAAGCGAACCTAGCCATGGTTAGGAGAACAGCGTCCCACCCTCTCTAGCCCAGTCCTGCAATGCTTGGTAGGTTTATTCTCACGACCCCCGGGAGACTGGGGAGAGCACTCTGCTGATGCTCAGAAACACTCTCGCCCCTTTCTACCCGCTTTCACCCACCTGCGTGCGTCTCTCTCGGACGGAACTTTGCCCGGAGGAAGCTTCATCTCTTCAGCCGCCCAGCGCCTGAGCTCCTGAGCCAGAGATGCCCCCGTCCCCCCCGCCTTCCTCCCAGCGACATTTTCCCCGCTCGCCATCACCCGTCTCAAACTCCGGCGCCCTTCGAGACGGACTCCGCCTCCCGCAGAACACGCTGGGAAATGTGGTTTCTCCCGCGCGGAACTTTCCGGAGACATTTTCTGTTTAAGTACCTTCGCGATGCCCTATGGGACTTGTAGTTTGTTTGGTAGGGTGAAGACCCAAGAGGGAGAGGGAAACTGCAGCTGTCATGGAGCCATGGCTGTTCCCGCGGTGGGCGACGGGAGTTGTGGTCCAAGAGTATATGAGGGGGGGGGAAATCTCATGGAAAGTACAATAGGGCAGAAGCGCTGGATTCTTTCAATTGGGCTGTTTCTGATTTGCGACCGAGAGTTGCAGTTAAACGGAGCAAAGTATAGGGGCATGTTTAAGGCTTTGTCAAGTTAAAAGAAACTATGGTTTTAAAAAATAATTAAGTCTCTTAAGTGTGGAAACGAGGCATGCCCATTGAGTGTAGCCTAACGAGTATCTTTTAGCACAAGGGTCTCCAACCTTGGCCACTTTAAGCCTGGAGGACTTCAATTCTCAGAATTCCCCAGCTAGCTTTGCTGGCTAGGGAATTCTGGGAGTTGAAGTCCAGCAGGCTTAAAGTGGCCAAGCTTGGAGACCCCTGTTTTAGCATACTGTATGAACACTCTTAGGTTACTAACCATGGCAAGTCATTCAATATGCAGCAGGTTTATTTACTGTAAATTCAAATAGATGTATTATCTATTAGAAATAAGTTATCTGTTTAGGTTTATTTACATACTTGTTTATTACATGTATTACTTGCCCAACTGAAATGGGCCAGGTATGTTATTGTTTATTGTGTAGCTTGGGTGCTGCTAAATGGATTAAATGCTTTTTTTAAACAACACACGTTTCCTTAAATCAAGGAATGCTGGCTTGTAACCTTCTCTCATTCTGTAATTATTATTTCTAGTTGGGTGCAGAATAGACCAGGAATAGCATTCAGCTGTATAATATGCCCAAGTAACTGTTATTCCCATTAAAGACGTTGGTCATCAGATGTTGGTTGTTCTACAGCCAACCCAAAATGGTTGCCCTTCTCATTCAGTGGAAAATTCAGCAGAATCTGAATTGTGCCCCATTGTCTGAGCTGACCTTTTGGAAGGAATGAGCCAGCCATTAAAAGGCTTGCAGAAGAGATTATACAATCCAGAGGAAAAAGGATGAAAAAAATGAATGTGCAAGAATTTGAGGGAGGCGTGGCAAGGATATGTTGTATATATAAGCGTTAGAGAAATAGCTCTGAAATGATGACCATGGGTCATGAGTTGCCTTGTGGGCTATAATCTTTTAAAACCTGACAAAGTTTGTCCTTCCCTCCTCCTCACACCAAACATCAGCTTAAAAATTCCCCCCCATGTTATCTCATTTTCCTAGAATGGAGCCCAGAGGGCTATCTCTGAGTTCCTCTATGCTGATGGAGGCAGGACTGCAGATATCTGGGGCAACAAATTGTTCAGAAAGGTGCTTGAAATTGAATAACCTCCTGTGAAATATAACCATGTCCTGCTTGCTGTGGTAACTCAACAATTACAGAAGTACTGATAGGTGAGTTTGACCTTAGAAAATATCTTAAGGTGGCTGTCTTCTTGAAGTGTGGGGAGAGCTTTCCTATCTGGGTTGCAAAAACCCCAACAGCCATTTGATGGAATAACAGATAACAAATAATCAGAGTTGGAAGGGACCTTGTAGGTCATCTAGTTCACCTCCCTGCCCAAGCAAGAGACCCTACACCATTTCTGACATATGGCAGTCTAGTTTCTTCTTGAAAGTCTCAGGTGGTGATGCTCCCACAACTTCCAGGGGCAAACTGTTCCATTGGTTGATTGTTCTCACTGTCAGAAAGTTTCTCCTTACTTCCAGGTTAAATTTCTCCTTGTTTAGTTTCCATCCATTATTCCTTGTCTGCCCTACAGGCGCTTTAAAAATAGCTTGACCCCCTCCTCTCTGTGGCAGCCCCTCAAATATTGGAAGACTGCTATCCTGTCTCCCCTGGTCCTTCTCTTCCCTAGACTAGCCAGGCCCAGTTCCTGTAACCCTTCTTCATATGTTTTATTTTTCTGTACTGTTTGCCTTTGCTGCTGTTTGGAGTTTGCAACCTACATATAGCAGCTGTTCTGTATAGAAAAGAGTGGAGTTTTCTCATTTATTAGGGTACTTAAAACTCCAGTTGTACTCCACCAAACACCTATGAATGAATGCAAGTCTTATGAAATGCCACGCATACTTCTCCCCAATGAAAGAAATCTTTGTTAAATTCTGTGTTGCCTTTGGTTCTTTTCAGGGTAGGGAGTGATGCCCACAGCCTTTGGAATGCAAAGTAGGCGCTTTACCAAGGAGCTGTGATTTGTTTTCTAGAACCATCCCTCTTATTTTAAATGAAGATTCTGAAAAACAGAATGCCCTTTTCCCAAGGCCAAAGCAACTGTCTGCCAAATCGAATGGAATTTTTATTACGGTCAAAACCAGCATAAGAAGGGTGATTTAGAGTCGATTAAAAAAAATAAAGCTACATTGGAATCTTAAAAAATTATGAAAAGCTAGAAGATATAAAATATATGTACAGTATTAACTATACACAAAAGAATGAGCCTAAAAGAATCTAAAAGGGGTAGGAGCATTAGATGGGGGAGTATAAGGAAGCAGAAAGGTTTGTATGCAGATATTATGGGATGGGGTGTACAGCAGTGAGGGAAAGTTTTGGCAACATTGAGTTTTTCCAGAAAGAAGCCCAGATTAAGAGAGTGTGCGGTTTGGTTCTGGATATGGAGGGGAAAAGAAATTCAGCTGAGCCACATCTTAGACTCTTTTAGGGTATACCTAGTATGTTAAAAAGTTATACTGTTAAGTTGTGGGTTTGAATGAAGAGGCGGGGCCACAGGATAGTGAAAACAGCTCTTTAGTAGTTGACATAGAAGTGTGTTGGCTGCCCAACAGCTCTCTCTTTTATAGAGAGCTGTCTTGACAGCTCAGCCACTGAGGTTAAATTTCCCGCCTGTCCTGTGAACCGATCAGCTTAAACTTGGTTCCTCCCAGCGACGGACCAAGGTTTCCCTCCTAATTACCGTATTTACCGTAGCTTACTATAGGCAAGATTCTGTCCATCAGGTATAAGCATATGAAGGATTGAACTCAGTGGGATCTAGCTGTGTCTAGGTGTGTCATCTCTGAATCTGGGCCTGATAGGAAGACTACAGGTACTCCTCGACTTACAATAGATCGTTTGGTGACTGTTCAAATACGATAGCACTGAAAAAAAGTGAATTATGACCATTTTTCACACTTACGAACCTTTGCAGCATCCCTGTGGTCAAGTGATCAAAATCCAGATGCTTGGCAACTGGCTCCTATTTATGATGGTTGCAGTGTCCTGGAGTCATGGGATCCCCTTTTGTGACCTTCTGACAGACCGAGTCAGTGGGGAAACCAGATGTTACTAACTTCACCACTGCAGTGATTCACTCAACAATTGTTGTGGCACGAAAGGTTGTAAAATGGGGCAAAATTCACTTAACTACTCTCTCTTGCTAGGCAACAGGAATTTTGGGCTGAGTTGTGATCGTAAGTCAAGGACTACTTGTATCAAATGACAAAGCAGTCTAATATGGCAAACTAGATGCTCATTAAAGCCAGTTTATGGCACAGGTCATCATCCAATGAATTTAAAAGTTTTCCCTGTCCAGTTGTGACTGTCCCAAGGGGGCCGTGCTCATCTGCGATTCTCAGCTGAAGGAGCCTGTGTTGTCTGAAATATTTCTATCATCATGTGGCCAGCATGAAAATAGGGAATGCGGCAACCTGCTGAAGTGGTACCTATTTACCTACTTGCATTTGTATGCTTCTGGAGTGGTGTGATGCGCTAGAGGTGGAGCTCTCGCCTCACAGTCAGAATGTGTGAATTTGATCCTAGGTGGAGGCAGATATTTCTCTCTCTGGGCACAATGAGAATATATCTGCTGAAGTTGAACAAAACTCCATATTGGCAACAGGAAGGGCATCCGGCCATTAAACACTCTATTAGCTCCATTCAGTTGCCCAGACTCCATCCTCTGCATTATGGAGTTGTTAAAAGAGGATGATGATTTGTATGCTTCTGAACTAGGTTGGCAAAAAAAAAAAAAAAAGGCTTGAAGGATGATTTTTTTTTGAAAATGAAAATGTTTTCTTTGGCATTAACTCTTGATTTTTATTTTTTGTCTTGGAATACAATCCTCTGACCTAAATTTTTCGTGGGGTTGCTTTGTCCTAACCTCAAAACAAAATGCATTTCCTATTTCATGCAAACTATAAGTGAATTCAGCCGTATGTCTTTCTTACACGTTATATTTATGGTAAAAACAAACCATTGCAGTATAATGGCTTTCCACCCATCGGTTTGAAAAACAACACTGTCGGATGAAACATATATTCATCCACATTAGAACTGTTGTTTTAAATAAAGAAAATATTTATTATTGTTAGGATTGGAAAGCGAAGTGTGTTAGAGGGGATTTGGCCACAAAATCAATTCTAAAATAATCTTCTCAATAATTCTAAGATGCAGGGAGAAAAAAATAATAAAGGTCTTGTTTGGGAGCGGAAACCATGATACTGCTTTGAAACCAACTTTGCCAATGGTTGTATCTAATTGGAGAGTGATGATTTGATTACTGTATCTGAAAATACTATTCAAGGAGATGGGCTTAGTATGGAATTTGTAAAAGACTTTTTATTTCTTTCAGGGTACAAAGTCAGAGGAGTTAAAGTCATTAAACATTTGCTGTATTGTGGGAATAAAGACATACAAAAGCCCAGCCTTTTCCTAAATTAATGCTGCACACTTGACAGGTGAGTTCATTTTCAGATTCTCTTTGTCTGCTTGCCCACACAACACTGAAGGGATTTAAATCTGCCTGAAACATGTTCACGCCTAGAAATATGTTTACTTGTTCCTCTCTGTGCAATGTACATGAGAAAAGATGCTTAAAGAAATTCAAAAGCAAATTGTGTGCGTGGGTTGAAAAATGCTCTGTCTGGTGTCTATTTACAGTCAGAACCGCTAATTAAAGAAGCCTTACTAAGTGCCTGTCACGAGAAATAAATTACAGTACAGTCTGCTACCGACACCTCCCTGGCTGTCCTTGTCTCTGTCAGCAAACGGAGGGACAACATACATGACATGAAACAATCACAACATTTATGCATTGAAGCTGAAAAGTCTTTTTAAATGCATACATTTGAAATGCAATAAAGCAAGTTCCAAAGCTAAGAACATTGTGTAATAATTTATTTGGAATATGTATTAAATTTGAACCTATTCAGACAAGTACAGGAGAAAGCAGGGGGAAGGGGGGAATCACAGGCCCAATTTTGAGATGTTAGAAACTCTTTGAAAGCTGCCATGTCCAGCCCAAATCATTTTTCCTGGTTTCTTGCCTTTTATCTAAGTGTGCATTCAAATGCAATCCTTTCCCCACACCACTCAGCTGAATTTGGCAAGCTGATAATGTGCTTTGCCTCATTCATGGCTGGCTGGGGAATTCTGGGAGCTGAAATCCACCCATCTTAAAGTTGCCACGGTTGAGAAACACTATTCTACATGTCTTCTCAAAAATCATCTCAGAGAGTTTAGTGGATATTGAATCACAACCTTAGTACCAATGGCTTCTCTTTGAAGAAAAAGAAGAAATATTTTGGAGATGCATAACCTAATACATTTTGGAGAAAATATCTGTTTTTAGAATCAGGAGTTTTAACATGACATCCAAAAACAAATATCAATTTTGTGAATAAGGGCAATTTCGTATATTGTTTTTTTTTTCCCTCCCACATCCATACAAATATTTTGACATATTTTGCAAACTTTATAACATCTGCCCATTACAAAATCAGATTACAGGTAGAAAATAGGAAGGAAGGAAGGAGGGAGGGAGGGAGGGAGAGAGAAAGGAAAGAGAGAAAGAAAGAAGGAAAGAAAGAAAGAAGGAAGGAAGGAAGGAAGGAAGGAAAGAAAGAAAGAAAGAAAGAAAGATTCAACCAGTGACCCATCCTAAGCTACTGCAGTTCCTGGAGCAATGAAAACTGTACCTCTTTATGTCTCCCCTCCCACCACCATCCACCTTGAAAAAGTGTGTTCAAAAAGTAAAGATCAGTTGTAAAGACCTTGCTACTTATTATGCTGAAAGGATCGCATGCTGACAGTTTTGCAATCAATCATCCCCGTCCACCTCACTAACTCTAGTCATGATTGCATATGGTTGGAGAGGAAGAAAGGGGAAAAAAATATAGGCTGCAGGGCAAGTTGCTGGAGGGAGGCTGAGGAGAGAGAGAGAGAAAGAGGATGAAAGGAAAAACATACGGAGCAATAAAAACTAGCCTGCTTCTGAAAAAAGAGAAAAAAGAAAATGGAAACAAACCATACTCCATGTAGGAGGAGTCAATGAGTGGGGAACAGCCTGGAATTTTGCACGCTTACTTATCTCTTGTAGTAAAAAGGAAGGCAAACAGGCCTTTCCCGAGCTTCTGTTCCTGGTGGAAAACTTGTAAGGATTTTAAAATTCAGAACAATTTCAACCAATTCCAACTGCATCTTAAAAAGTAGATCAGCAGCTGACTTTGGTCATTTTGGGAAAAAAATCTGACTGGTTTCTATGAGAGGGATCTATATAACTGGCAAACCACCGTTCCCCTTTAAGGACCATGCACATTCAGACTATAAACAACAGCTGAAGGTGGAATGAGACATTCTCCCAGTAAGAAAGCAAGCCACTCACAAGCTCTGTAGGGTTTCAATCTCACAAAAGGAAAGGTTGATTTATTTGTTCATTTATTTACTGTTTGCATGTTTGGGATACAGCTCAGCTGCTGACAACAGCATGAGAATATTAAGATCTGGGTTGATTTGGGAGCAGTGTAAAGACCCTGTTTCAGAGGTGCTTTAATGAGAGATTAAATTTCTCTTTCTGATACCCCAAAAATTCAGTTTCAAAACATTACGAAAGCTTATCATCTGAAGCATTTCCTGGTGCAGAAAAAAAATTCCTTTTGCCAGGCAAAGATAGGAAAGCCACGGGAAAGGAATCCCATGTGCAGACATATATTTTTTAAAAAATCTAAATGGCCATTTTACTAGCCTGTTGTTCCCCAGAAGCAATGAAATACAACCCCCCAAGCCTGCTTAAAGAGGCTGTTACTGATTGGGGATGATGGCTGTTTTAATTCAGCATATTTGATCCACCAAGATTTCCAGAATTTGAGAGAAACAAGATCTAAAAGTTGGATAAATGCAAGTGTCCTCTAGGCTTGGTTGCATCCTAAGAAGCAAAAGATGCAATGGTTGAAACTGTTTAGAGCAGATTTTTTCTCAATCTTAGCAAGATGTGTGGATTCAGAAAGCTGGCTGAGGAATTCTGGGAGTTGGAAGTCCACACATTTTAGAATTGCCAGTTGAGAAATACTGCCATTAAAAAAAAGATACCTATGAAGTATGATTATGGTTTATATATAAAGATGCACGGTGAAGAAAGGATGAACAGGATAGATCTTTCTCCTTATCTATAATGCTAGAACTAGAGGTTACTTAAGGACCCTTACTAGCAAAATAATTAATGTTGATCAGAGGACTACCAATGTTATAAACCTTGGGAATATGCTGCCAGAAAATGTGATCTTAGCGACTAGTTTGTAAGGCTTTGAAAGGATGCTAGACTAATTCTTAGATCGATGGCCTTGGCCTTGATGCTGCTTTCAGCCATGGAACAATTTGTCTCCACATGCTACATGCCCAGGAGCAGTAGTGGGAGAGAAGGCCTACTTCGACTTCTCATCCATGGGTTTCCTAGATGCATCTGGTGGATCAAATGAGACTTAGATCGGCCTAAGCATGATCCAGAAGGAATATTTTCATATTTTCATGACTGAATGCAGGGTTTATACCCAGGAACCAGAGGGAGAAATTCTTTTTTCCAATACTACTTTAAGGAAAGCAATCTTAATCTTTGCTAAAATTGCACTGGTACAAAGGATTTCAGATACCGAGAGTCATTTTCAGATACTTCATTCTGCTCTTGCCTTTGAGAAGAAGATTCACCAGAGGTCCAAAACTCTGCCAAACCTGCTTGATCAGAAGTGAAAAGGGCCTTCCAGCCAGATCAACAGTTCTTTCTTCAATCATTTATCCTAAGGTATTTGGGTGGCTGCTCTGTCTTACTCATGGGAAGATTGTTAGTGTTCTACTTCTATTGGACTTAAAGATATACTTCCACCACTAATACAACTGATCCCTTTGCAAATACCTCACCAATAGAATTCTACCCCTTTTTCTAAATAAGGACCATTCTGTTCAATGAGACTTATTCTTAATTGTTCTCCTGAGCTGCATTCTAAGCATAGTTACAAGGACAGTTTATTACTCTCCAAAATATTTATAGATATCAACTCCCATCATTTTTGACCACCAGCTGTAGCAACTGTAGCTGATGGGTATAATCTAACTGTGGAGTGCTATAGGTTTCCTCATGCTTGATTTAATGTGTAACTTTCACTGAGTTCAGCTCAATGGATCCTTGACAAAACCACCAGATCTTTAGATCATGTTATCAAATTCCAACTATTTACCCCTACAACTGCAGCTTCTCACTAAAGCGTGTTTTTTTTTAAAAAGGTGCTTTTTGAATAAATAGAAACATGCTTTTGCCTGAAATGTTAGATATTAATCTTGTTAGGAGACTGGAATTAGCTTGCCAGCTGAGAATTACAGCTTTTCTTCACAAACACCAATTGGAACGCCATCTCATTAACTCAGTGATGGAGGGTTCCTTCCCAGCTGGGTTTCATGAATTCCCAACTTCGACAACTTTTTAAAACAATGATTCAACTATTGCTTAATCAGCAAAATACAGTATCTTTTTCTGTACAGTACAAAAAACACAGGATATGTGTGTGTGTGTTGGAACAGATGGGGATTTGGGAGGAGTCTTGATTTAAAAAACCAAACCAAAGGTGGAATTTGATTCTGTAAACATTACTCCAATGCAACAATAGACCTAGAGGCTTTCCAAGCAGTAAAAACTTTTCCTGAGATTATTTTTAAAAACACAAAAAGTTTCAGATGCTTGAAATCCTAGTTGTTTTGCCCTTTTTCATTGTTGCTAAACTCCTGATGTAAAGAAAGGAATGGGGAAATTAAAAAGAATAATGATTACTAGATTCTTTGACTTCATCTTCCGGCTGATAACTGTCTGTTTCTTCAGAACAAAAACCACTAACAACAATACTTTTATAAGGATTTACCAAACCGTGACCATTTTGAGTAGGTTTTGAATGCTGAAGCTTTTGTCACAGGCTTAAAAGCTTTGGAGAACTTAATATATTCATGCCTATAACATGTAACAGTCACACTTGGGTGGCTGTTAACTAAACTATTTCCTTATTGTAATCTTGAGAGAGAAGTTTTTTAGCTTTTCCATTTCTCCTTATCCCAAGTGGATGTCTAATCAATATTGGTCATAACACCATGGAGTTAGAAGAGGCCAATTAAAACCCCCAAATTCAACCACTTGCTCACTGCAGGTTTTCAAATTAAATGCTCCCCAAATGATGGTTATCTCGCCCCATCATTTTTTCAGTTAAAACTGCTTTATGATTGGAAGGATTTGCTATATGACCATGAGGATTAACAGTCAAGGTTTTCAGTATAATCATAGGTCCTCAGCAAATAATGAAGGATCCGAGATATTTCTTCTATAGCGTTCCAGTGTCCTCAAAATCAATGGGATTCTTGATGGGTTTAAAACATCAGCCTTCTGTCTTCCTGAGGTTGAACAAGCAGAGGAAAGAGAAGATATTTTGCCCAACAAATTTACTTATTGAAAAGGGCACTTTTTCTCAAAAGGCAAAGCGACAGAATTGATGGATGCTACAGAATACAATATCCAGTTGCTCAGCAAAACACACAGCACTTTCATTAGTCATGCTAACAACAACAGGAATGTATCATTGGGAACTATTATGGGGTGCAGAAGGAAACCCTTGATGAAACAGAACATACATTCTAGGAAACAGAAGTTAGTCCTCTACTTAACAGATATACATAATGTAAAATTGGATCTAAGCATATCTGGTAAAAATGGCTTGACAATGAAGGTCATTTCCATGCTAGCAATTCATAGCATCTTCTAGAGTCACCCAAACCATTCCTATGTCAAAAGGGCAGTAGCTGGGCAAGCTTTATATTTCTTCAACCATAGCTGGTGGGTGCCCTGGAGACGCTAGAATTCACTAGGTGATGTTTTCGGTCATCTCATCACTTTGTTTCTTTTTAACCTGAAAACTATGATACTTCGAATCAAAACAGGGTGGTAAAATGTCCACTGTCTTATACATGGAGAAATAAATGATGTGCCTAAATGTGCTCTGCTTTCTTTATTTTGTTAAAGACAGAAATGTAGAGTTATTGAGACGTGTGAGCTGGAATTTGATTTTTTTTTCCCCAGCTTGAATCTGAAATGTGAAGTGAACGTTGGACAGATAGAGAGCCAACTCTACTGCTTATGATCATCAGCCTCGATGAGATGGATCAAGACTCTTGGGCATTGTGGTGAAAACCAATCCATTCAATTTCTCCTAGAAACACAACTTCTTTCATGAAACCCTATCAGATAGGGGGAATAGCCATTAGATCACAGCTGTTCTGGATTTGTCAATTTGATCCTTACGATAATGACCTGGAATCTTGCTCTACTTTGATAGTTTGCTAGCAAATTAGACTAGGTACCCAAGATTTAGCAATTTACCACAGCAGAAGCAGAAAGAGCTGCCCTCTGACCATTCTGTACCTATAACCTGTTGGCTGGCCAAAAGGACCAGTGTTTACTTGTGGGGTTTGTGTGTGAGAGAGAAAAGGGGAACCCTAATCTGTGTTAGTTGACCTTCAGTATGTACTCTCCCGGAAATGAAAATGCACCCCGTATTTTGGAGTGCAAACATCAGGATATCAAAAACAGTGGATAATGTGGAGTCCCCCCTGAGAGATGATGGATGCCCAGCCCAGGAATGGTGACGGCTTGGGGTCTCGTTCAACTACTATAGTTCCAGTTGGAAGGAAGGCCTTGGTGAGAAGAGGCCTCACTTGACTCGGATTTCAGCATATTCAGCCAACTCCTCGGTCAGGGTATAGCTGTCCTTGGTGGACAATTTGGTGAAGTCTATGTTGGCATAATCAATCCCCAGGTCCTCACGCTTGTTCAACAGCCGTTTGTCACAGCGCCCATACTGGAGGAGGAGGTGAGCAGACAAACAAGAGCAGGTTATTGCTTGCGCCAACTCCCTCTCTGAGTTATATCATTTGGTTTATTCCCGTAGAATCAAAGTAGGATTCCAGATATTGCTGAGGACACTCTCAGCAGTCCTGGCCATCAGGATCAATGCTAAAGGATATTAGGAAGTGTAGTTCAGCAACATCTGAGGCGGGGAGACAAGTTGAACTGCAAGACATGAGGTGGTAGAAATAAGGGACAGGATGCTATGTATATAGACCACAAATGGAAAGTGTCCACTTACATGCAAACATTTAACCAAGATGCACTGATAGACGCAACATAATTTCACCAGGAAGGTTACGACGACAGACACCACAGAAACTTGACAGAACTATCTTCCTGGGTTTTTCAAAAATATCTGAGTATTTCAGATGTTCAGACACAAGGCACAATATTTGACACAAACATATTGTCACACAAACACATTCAGAAGCTGCTTTTGGAACTGTGTGCAGACATGACAACTGTTAATGCAAGACAGGCCATGTCAAAAAGGGTGATTTTTTTTTTCAAGTTGGAAATATCCTTAGCCAAGATAGAATTTGTTTTCAAATTACAGACGTGGGAAATGCATGCAAAATAAAAAATAAAAATAAAAAATCCAACTGAAGTGCTATTCGCTGCAAAGATTCTATTTGTGAAGCAGAGCAATATGACAAGCAAAATAGCTAGGTTAAGCCTTTAACAGACTTAACACGTCTATTTTCCTCTGAAAAAAACATCTCCCCCTCAAAAGTGAAAAAGCAGAGCAGAAAAAAATCTGGCTGTGCCTTCTTCAGAGATGTTACTACCATATGCCTGGCAGTTGTTTGAACTAAAAATAATAACGTGGACAAAAAATGTGGCCTCACATGGCAAAAAAAACAAAAAAACCTTAGACTTTACTGTGATAGAACCTTTTTTCTAAACACCCAAAATGAAAGTCACGGACTAGTTTCCATGAAAGTGGCTCTACTCTGCTTCAATCTTGAGAGGGCATGCCAAGAGTAAAGATGAAGGGGAAATTAAATAATAATAATAATAATAATAATAATAATAATAATAATAATAATAATAATAATAATAGAAGAATTGTGATGAGAAAAAAAATCAGTTTCTTTTCCACAGGTCGTGATTCTTCCTCTGAATTCTCTTATTAATTTCTCCCTAGGCTTTGTTTCTAACCAGGATTTTAAAAAAGACCTTGTTATGCATTTCAGTATGTTCTCAGCTTCCTGAAGTTCTGTTTTTTTTTTTTTGAAGGTAACATCTCCTTTGCATCCACCTTGAACTCCTGGTGACTTCATGGAAGTGTCCATACTGTTTCCTTGTCACCAGGTCAGAAAGGGTTTTTCTGTGTCTTCTGAGGTGTTTTTCAACTCTCTAATCAAGCCTACAGCCCTGGAATTCCCTGGAGATGTCCCTTCCAAGTTCATAACCCAGCCCAACCTTGCTTAGCTTCTCACCCCAGACAAGACATTTAGATTCCTACCAGTGGTTGTATGCTACCGCTTTGGCATGGTTCACATGAACCGGTAGTAAAAATCACTACCAGTTGGCCAACCAGGTAGTAAAAAACAGCCTCCAATCATCTGAGAGGAGGAAAAAAAAGCTTTCGACAATCAGATGAGAGAATAAAAGCCCGAGGGTTGCTCCTAGCTTTTCGTTTCTTCATCCTCTCAGCTGATTGGCTTGTTAGGCAAGCGTGCGCACGCACACACGATCACCCACCAAACTGATAGCGACTAAGGTAGGATCCCACTACTGATTCCTACCACGAAGGGACATACAAGCCCATAAAAACATGCATGGATTCATTTGTGGGAAAGGAGGATAGGGCAATGGGATGATGACAATGTTACACATGGACAGGGAAGCCCATACTTACTTGGCCAGGTCAGTGACTTTCCAGGGAGCAGATCTCTTTAGACTATTAGAAAAGGAAGAGTAGTCACTAATGACTCCAAGGGAGAAGGGACAGCTTGGGCAAACTCAACCCTGCCATGAAATGAGTTTGGGGCACCATGAATTATAGTTAAGTCAGGGAGAGAGATTGAAACCGTGGATCTCTGTGGCATAGGTCATGGCCGTGAGACAATGATGTAGGGTAGAATGTCCATCTGAGCTTCTCATGTCTTGTTCTGTCAATGTCATATCAGGGGTCTGCGCTTGCTTTTTCTCTGTGCTGAAATCAATAGGTCAGCAAAGCCCAAGTAAGGAAACCATTCTTAGAGATGAGTAGTTATGCTACCAGGAAGCACGAAGGAGCACAGTGGCTCGAGTGGTTGGAACGCTGGGCAGGAGGTTAGCAAGCCCGCGTTCGAGACCCGAGAGCTGCTGTGGGGCAGGGTTGAGCTCCCGTCCTTTACTCCAGCTCCTGATGGGGACAAGAAAAGAGCCCACATTGGGCATCCCTAGGACAATGATGATGTCACCAGCTAATCCTTTCAACAGGAAGCGGTGCTTCTGATTGGAGCGCAAAAAAACCAGGAAGAAAAAGTACCCCCTCTCTGACCATTTCCAAAACAAACATCCATTGGAAGGGCACTTCCCATGGATGGGTCTATGGGCAATTGCCTCTACTGCCACCCCCTCCAAAAGGCATATTGTGAAATTATCCACCCTGCTCCTCTAAATAAGCTTTCCGGTTTGCCTTCTTCTAAAATACTGAGCTGACAGGAGCATACTTGTCCTCCCCTTCCATAAGATGGGAATGGATTCAGCCTAGAAGGCAAAAGCAACTTACAGAAGTTGCGGCCAGGCAACGAAAGAGAGGCAGAGGAGAGATTGTGTGAGAGTGGTGTGTATTGCAGGGAGGGGGACCCATCAACGTAGTTCTACCAAGAGCAACTTAACTACAGTTATTGGTACCTCTGATTTTTCCAGATTGCCCGGAGTCCTGTAATCTCCACTGTAGACAACAGGAGGGTTTTCTGTTTGCCCAAAGCCAGGATTTTCATTGTTTTTTCTGGGGAAATGGAGATAATCACAATAACAATATTAACGTAAGACTTAGAACAACATAAAACAGGTAGTCTTCAATTTATGACTGGTTGCTTAGTGATTGTTTGAAGTTACAACATAACCTGAAAATGGGACTTACAACTCAGATTCAAAGTACTGACGTTTGTCTCCCACCCACCACGGTCACACAATCACATTTTGGGCATTTGGCCTGTGCATTTATGACAATTTGCAGTATCCTGCATCACGCAATGGTGATTTATGATGTGTTTGCTGAAAACCAGTGTTTACTTTCAGTTCCTGGCCAAAAAACAACAACCTTCCAATAGCAAATGACATGTTCACTTAATGACCATGGTGTTTGTTTTACAACTGCCCCCCCAAAGGGCATAACATTGGATGCAGTCACAAGGAGACCTACTTTATGACCGTCACAACTTATGATCAAAATTGTAAAGTCAAGATTCTGAATCGGCTCTTCTGGAAATTAATATGGGCTCCTCATTAAGGATAGGTATCATATATGGGTAGATATTGCATATATGTATCACTTTGATTCAGATAATACACCAAAATGTACTTAAAAGAAGCATTAACTATGGCTTAACACAGTGTTTCTCAACATTAGCAACTTGAAGATATGTGGACTTCAACTCCCAGAATTCCCCAGGCAGCTTCGACTCCATTCTGGGAGTTGAAGTCCACATATCTTTTAAGTTGCCAAGGTTGGGAGATACTGACTTTAATGCAAAGCTGAGCAATGATGAGTGTTTGTATACAATGGATTACAAGCCCTCCCCCTCTTGATTTAGTGTGCCAACAAATCCCAATTGGTGATCCACTTCCCTGGAAACCCTACTGTGTGTTTGGATCTCAAAGCCATAAGAAAAATAATTTTCAGTTGGGTGTAAATCAAAGAAAGTTGGGTTTGGATTTCCCTTCTCCCCAACACTTACTTTTTTCTGGCCTGGCTGACATAGCACACCACAGCTATGAGTATGGCAAAGGCCACAACAGCTCCCACCGGTCCAACCTTTGCCCACATCAGACTATCTGGAAGAAAGGAAGACACGGGTCAACAGACAGGTTTAAAAATGAATGCAAAGAGAACCCATATAAAGCAAGGGTCTTCAAACTTGGCAAGTTTAAGACTTATGGACTTCAACTCCCAGAATTCCTGAGCTAACACGACTGGAGGAGGAATTCTGGGAGTTGAAGTCCACAAGTCTTAAAGCTGTCAAGTTTGAAGACCCTTGATATAAAGAGACAAGATGGTGGCGGAACATAACCCAGGAATATGGGAACAAAGCTTGGGTCATACACGGCACCAACACAAGTTTGCCTTAACGGTGATTGTTGAGTAAACTACAGCTGGATTTGCAGGGCATGTTAAACAGATCTCACTGTTGCAAAAAATAAACAAGGCATCAATCAATGGAAATTGGACCTCCTGAACCAAAGAGAGGAGCCCCAGAAGTGGGAATTGGAAGAGGATCAAAGGCATTTAATACAGGTAGTCCTTGGTTAATGAGTAGTCAATTAACAACTATTTAAAGCTCTGGCAGAAAAAGCTACTTATAGCAATAGCACCTAAGACTTTGATACCATTTCAAAGTGCTTTACAATCCTCTCTAAGCGGTTTTCCAGAGTCAGCCTATTGCCCCCAATAATCTGGGTCCTCATTTTACCTACCTCAGAAGGATGGAAGGCTGAGTCAACCCTGAGCCTGGGGAGATTTGATCTGCCAAATTGAAGGCAGCCGGCAGTCAGCAGAAGTAGCCTGCAGTACTGCATTCTAACCACTGCGCCTCATTATAGCAATAGCACTTATAAACCACTTCACAGTGCTTTCCAGCCCTCTCTAAGTGGTTTAGAGTCAGCATATCACCCCCAACAATTTGAGTCCTCATTTGACCCACCTTGGAAGGATGGAAGGCTGAGTCAACCTTGAGCCTGGTGGGATTTGAACTGCCAAATTGTAGGCAGCAGGCTGCAGAAGTAGCTTGCACTCTAACCACTGCGCCACAGAGGCTCCTTATGATTATGATTCATCCTTGAAACTGCACCCCACCCCTACAGTCACATGATCACATTTTGGTGCTTGGGAACAACTAGCTCGCATTTTTGTCTGGTTGCAGTGTCCTGCAGTCACATGACAGCGATCTACAACTTTTTTTTGGCAGTTTTCCATTTCTCCTCTCTGTCCCACTCTGCTAGTTTACACTCTTTACTCAATAAGGAGTATAATACAGTATATAATCAATACAGTATAACACAAGTATTTTTTGCTTGGAATTTAGGCTCTCTGGAGTCAGAGATAACCAAGTTTGGTCTCTCATTTATATGTGACAGCCCAGCTGATATTTGAAAACTTCTGACACATAATCTTTTGATAGCTTATTTTCCAGGCTAACGTTGGTCAATTAGTTCAACTTCTTTTCAACACTTTGCCTTCTAATGTTATTAATTCATATTCTCGCTCAGGGCGAGATAGCAAGGTATGCAAAAGCTGTGGTTCTTTGTAGCAGTCATTGCCTTCTCACGTGAAGAAGGCAATTGAATAGGAAAGAGCACCACCAAGGGGGGGAGACCCAGCGTGGTCAAGGGGCTGCTGGCTTTTCAGTGGGCCGGTAGTTGATGTATCAGCCTTCTCAGACAACTAGTAAGGCTGTCCCTCGATGGCAGCCCTGGAGTGGCTATCATGGAGGGTGTTGTGTTGGCCACTGGCCCCTCCAGCAGCTGAATCAGATGAGGTGATGTGGGATTCAGGGCCATCATCAAGGCCACCTGAGAACTCCAAGGGGGAAGGGGGAATGGAGCTGTCAGAGATAGAGGCAGAGGTGGAGCCTAGGCCGTCCATCAGCTGTCAGAGGGAAAGCCAATAGCCCCCAGGTCTGGAGGTGGCTGATGAGGAAGAGGAGGAACAGCTGGGTTTCAGTGCCTGATGTGTGGTTGCACAGAAGGCAGAGGAGAGGAGAGGAGTGGAAATCTATGGGCCGGTCCTTGGGAAGGAAGACCCACTGCTGCTAGTGAAGCCCCACCCTACCTCTGGGGATAAAAGTCAGGGGGTGGAGATGAATAGATGTGGCAGACAACTATTCATCTCCCTGCTGGACAGACTTGTTAGTCTGCTGTATGTGTGTGTGTGTGTGTGTGTGTGTGTGAGAGAGAGAGACAGGGAGGGAGGGAGGGAGGGAGGGGGAAGAGAGGGGGAAGGGAGGGAGAGGGAGAGAGAGAGAGAGAGAGAGAGACTTTTTGCCGGAGCTGCTGGTGCTCCTAATAAAAGGAACCTTTAGTTAACTACAGAGAGTTTGTTGTGTTTGGGAGCTGAATCAGAACAGATGGTCCAATAGATTGAGGAAGAGGACCAGAGGGATCAGAGGTGATGTTTGCCTGCAGGGACTCTCACTGGAGTGATGGAACTGGAGCTGCTGGTTCTTGGTGCCGTAAACATTCCTGGCAGAGCAGACTATGTAGAGCTGAGAATCAACCTCCCTCTGAACAGTCAGGATGCTGGTGACAATGTAGCCTGTTTTCTGGGAGTACACAAACTCCCGGTCAGTCTCATTGACCGTCACATTGCGGGTGGGCAACTCAAAGGTGATCACAGCTTCTGGGTTGGCTTTGGCTGCACAGATGCATTTTACTGTATCCCGAGCAGCTGTGCACTTGGAGTCCGGAAGAATACGGGGAGCAACTATGGAGAAAAAAATAAAGAGACTGAAGTGCAATTCGGGATGAACTAATAGCAATAGCACTTATATACCACTTCCTAGTGCTTTACAGCCCACTCTAAGCATTTAAAAAATGTCAGCATACTGCCCCCAACAATCTGGGTCCTCATTTTACCAACTTCGGAAGGAATGGAAGGCTGAGTCAGCTGGCTAGGGTCGAAGTCCTGGCAGTGAGCAGAGTTGGTCTGCAATACTGCGTTCTAACCATTGTGCCACCATGGCTCTAATAGCTTTCTTGGACTGTAGAAGTCCTCTCTGGGAGCTCCTCCATTTATGGAAAGCCATACAGCAAGGTTGGTCCACACTCTTGAGATGTCTACTTCCAACAGATACGTCAGGGGAAAGAGAATAAATGGGGAGAGGCATAGCTCCAGGTCTACATAGGGGAGGAATTCGCTAGTTCCTTTTCTCCAGCTTTATCCAAATTTACTGCCAACAGTTCCTCAAAAGTTTAAGAACAGATCTTTCCCGGAAATGCCAGAGCTCATAGCTGAGCCTTCTGCATTCAAAGCACTTGATCTACCACCCAGTGGTGGGATTCAAATTTTTTTTTACTACTGGTTCTGTGGGCCTGGCTTGGTGGGCGTGGCTTGGGCATGGCAGGGGAAGGATACTGTAACATTTCCATTCCCACCCCACTCTAGGGGAAGGTTACTGCAAAATCCCATTCCATCCCCACCCCACTAACCTGCTTTCCAGCTCCATTCTCCTCTGCAGGCAACCAAAGAAGACCCAGCCGATCAACTGGGACTCAGTGGGAGGCAGAGAGTAGATGGGGGCAGGGGCAGTCAGAGGCGGTATTTGCCGGTTCGTTGAACTACTCAAAATTTCCGCTACTGGTTCTCCAGAACTAGTCAGAACCTGCTGAATTCCACCTCTACTACCACCACACTCTACCCAATTCCAAAACACACTTGAGATATTTAGAACTAAAAAAAGGGCTCTCTGGGCACAAAGCCAGTGCTTACATTCAACGGTAAGGTTGAAAGCAGTGCTGCTCTGGCCAAACTGGTTCTCTGCTGTGCACCAGTATTCACCGTCGTCTTCGTGCGACACGGATTCGAACTCCAGCTCCACCTGGCTTTGGTAGACCCCCATGGCTAATGGCTTCTTGTCCTTGAAGATGGTGATCGTTGGGTCAGGGCTGCTCTGTGAGCTGCAGGAGATAGTGACAGGCTCTCCTTCAATGGCCACCAATGATCCGTTGACTACTGGTTTCCAAGGAGCATCTGCATAGGGAGACAAAAGTCAAAAAGAACATGGATTTCATTTTAAGCAAAACATGGTACAAAATGGTCACCCCAGCTAAGGACAGATTCCTCCTCCCAGAACGGTTCCAATGACATTCTTTCAAAGATTTAGCAATGTTGAAAACTTGACTTACATCAAGTTATTCGTTCTTCAAACTTAGCAATAACTAAACAGATCCTGCACGGATAGCCAATGGTCTGCGGCTAACATGTGACCCTCAGATCTTTTTCTCTGGTCTCCAGAAAAAAAAAAAATCTGTTTAAATTCTGTTTCTCATGCTTTTGACATCTTGCCACCACTCCCCAAACTGCTGCTATGTTTCCTCTTTGCATTGGGTAGAAGTTACATTGGCCTGATCTTTCCTCTTCGCACAAGGTAGACCGGACCGAAGCTTCGCTGGCCTGATCTTTCCTCTCTGCATTGGGTAGACCAAGCCGAAGTGATGCAGGTAGATTGGGACTGCCCCATGGGCCAGATCCAACCATATCGCAGCCTGAATCTGGCCCATGGGCCTTGAGTTTGACACCCCTGCATTAACACGACTCAAGGCTTCTACACATTTTAAAGGATGTTATAGAAACCTTGGGTAGGAGTAATGGGTTTCAGGTTATCCTCACTGCTAGAGCCGTTGGACACGAGATGGGTGGCAAATAAATTTGATAAATAAATAAAATGAATAGGCTTTATCCCAGAATGGTGAATGCATTCCAGAGCCCCAGATTAGCACTCACACAGCACAGACAAGGCAAGGGAGTGGTTGTCTTTGCCATAAATGTTCTCCGCCACACAAGTGTAGAGGCCATCCTGCAGGTGAGTTACATTGTCGAGGTAGAGTGTGAGGTTTCCAGCCAAGTCCTCATGGAGAATTTCATTTTCTCGGAGCCAGGAAATCATGGCTGTTGGACTGCTGTCCACAATACACATCAAGAACACATGAGTGCCATGTAGGACTTCCGTGGAGGAGTTGACTTGCAGGATGCGGGGTGGGTCTGCAAAGGAGAGATAAAGAGGTCACCTTTGAGGTGCATATCCAGTTTTCTTTCTGCAGCAGATAAAGGTAATAAGAAAGGTATCGGCCCGGTATGGTCAAAAAAGTCAGGATGGCAGTCATGTTAGGGCAACCAGGACTTTTGTTGTTGTCTTTTATGGGCATTGCATCCTCATCCTCATCATTACATCATGACTCTCGTGGTGGCACAATGGTTAGAAAGCACTACTGTAGGCTAACTCTGCACACAGCCTGGAGTTCGATCCTGACCAGCTCAAGGTTGACTCGGTCTTCCATCTTTCTGAGTCGGTAAAATAAGGACCCAGATTGATCGTTTTTTTAAAAAAACAAAAACTTTTTTTGGATTTTTATTTTTAAATGTACATCAGTATCAATACCTGAACAGTGTGGCCTCTGGATATAATTCATTTTTATACAAGTAGCAATAATAATAATAAGAATATTTATTACATTAAACAAATTTATGTAATCCTAATATTAATCTCATAAATAGCTCTTGTGGTGCAGTGGTGGGAATGCAGCATTGCAGGCTAACTCTGCCCACTGCCAGGAGTTCGATTGTCAAAGGCTCAAGGTTGACTCGACCTTCCATCCTTCCAAAGTGGATAAAGTGAGGACCCAGATTGTTGGGGGCAAGAGGCTGACTCTGTAAGCCGCTTAGAGAGGGCTGTAAAGCACTGTGAAGCAGTATATAAGTCTAAGTGCTGTTGCTATCTTGACTTTCTTGGTCACATCCCGCTTAGTACTTTTCCCCCTTTGTTCCCTATGTGAACAAAAGCAGAGTTGGACCTATTTTATTCCATTAAATGATGAGATTGCAAGGCTTTATGTCTAATTAAAAAAAAACTTTTCCTTATGTTTGTGTGTAACTTTTCCCTGTCTACCTCAGCTTTTTTGTTAGTTTGTGAACCAAAAGCAATTTCAGAATTTAAGAGGGAAGATGACAATGGGTGAGAAGCTGTGATTAGCATGCCAGCTCATTTTTCATTTAAACTCATATATTCCCAGTTACTTGTTTTCCCATGGAAGAGAAAGTGACATTGATTAGAGATGAAGGAAGTCTCATGGGAAATGAAATATGCATGTTTGAGGAACGTGACTTGCAAAACAGGTCATCTTTGACAATAAAAAAGGAAAAAGAATACATTAAAATTAAACCGGGAACAAAAAAAATCTGCTTTTCACATGGCTCAGGGGCCAGGAATCCATTAATTACCACATAATGAAGTGCTAAATTGACTGCTAATCCCTTCCACTCAGCAATTTTCTGTGACAGAAGCTTGAGCCATCTAATTAAGATGATGGACTTTTAACATTAGAAAATGTTAAACGTTTCTTTTACTATAGTTATTTTATGGAAGACACAGTTGTGGTCCTGATGTTGGGCATTTCCAGATACTACAGGTAGTCCTTGACTTATGATCTCACAATCAAACCCAAATTTCTGTTGCTAAGTGAGTCCTGCCCATTTTATGATCTTTCTTGCCCCAGTTGAATCACTGCAATTATTAAGCTAGTAACATGGTTGTTAAGTAAATCTAATTTCCCTCACTGACTTTACTAATCAGAAAGTCGCAAAAGGTGATCACATGATCCCAACACACTGCAACCGTCATAAATACAGGCCAGTTGCCAAATATCCAAATTTTGATCCTGTGATCCTGGGGATGCTTGTAAGTGTGAAAAATGGTCATAAGTCATATTTTGGACACCATTTTGACTTTGAACAATGACTAAGCAAATGGTTGTAAGTCAAGGGCTATCTTTATAATAATTGATTAAATGTTGAACCATGGTTTTAATTCTGCTTTTAGATGGTTGCAGGAAAGCAATACCACAGCAGAATGTGTCATAGTAGGGAGGTAATTCGATAGCCTGAGTCCATCAAGTCTTGTTGCAGAAACTGTCAGCCTCCAAGAATCCTCCTTCTGCTTATCTTTCCAGCTGCCATAGAAAGTGGGGGGGAAGAATAATTGCACTTCGTGGGGGGAAGAGTGCTGGAGGTTTGAGTTGGTGAAATGTAAACGTTGGGATGTTTCCTTGACTATGCTTACTTGCTTACTGCGCAGATGTCGCCTCTTATCTGTGTAAGCCAAGGTCAACCGTCTTGGCATACCAGATATCTGAAACACCACCTGAAGATATCCCACATGACATTATACACATCTCAAATTGGATGGCCAGCTTGAACTATTGTGGGTGGGAACATGGGATAACTTTGCATATGTGATTTTCGCGCCAATTGCCTCAGATCTTGTATTCTTATGATGCTACCACTTCAATTTTCAGTAAAAGTCCTTTCCTCTATAACAATGGAGACTAAGGTTTTCTTTCTCGGATTTTGAACAGAGCCTCACCTGACAGAAACCCTCCAGTGTTCTCCAAGATTAAGATGACAGGTGTCCACTTACACGCAATATTAAAAATGTAAAATATAAAAGTTAATATATTTCTATGAAAGTTTTATTGATATACAAGTTAACATATTTATGTTTCAGTATAAAAATATATCAAAGCTTCCAATATTTGAGGGGCTCCTACAAAGAAGAGGAGGTCAAACTATTTTCCAGAGCACCAAAAAGCAAGACAACAAACAATGGTTGGAAACTAACCAAGGAGAGAAGAAATCTAGAACTAAGGAGAAATTTCCTAACAGCAAGAACAATGAACCAGTAGAACCATTTGCCTTCAGAAATTGTGGGGGCTCCATCCCTGAAGGCTTTCAAAAAGAGGAAAGAAATGAGATAGGATCAGGGGTGGGCTGCTGGGCGCTTGCAAAGGCTCGAGAAAGCCCCTAGCTAAGACTCTGCGGGGCTCGGAGAGCTCCCAAAAGCCTCAGAAAGAGAAGCAGCAAGGGAAAGCTCTTAATAGGCTTAATTGAACTTCTGGGCATTCAGCCAAGAGCATTTCACACCTCGTAAAAGTGTTGCAAGCTAGATAAACAATCCACTCAGTGCTTGCAAGGGAGAGCCATTGAGAAAATCAGGTAACATAGCCATGAGCCTCCAAGGGGATTAATTCCCAAATAATAAGAATCATGTAACTGTCCAGAAACTCCACTAAGACTCCAAGATTCCTCTCACAGTCATTGCTATAAAGCCTGGTTTCACCCAGTCTTTTATTTAAGTATTAAATGCATGAAATAATAAACAACTTTTTAGTATGTTATCTTTTTTTAGGTAATTAGGGCAAAGAAGCGATGTCGAGTTGGCCACACCCACCCAGTCACCTGCTCACCCAGCCATGCCCACCCAGCCAGTCATTAGGGCAGAGAGCCCCTTGCTGAAAAATTTGAAGCCCACCCCTGGATAGGATCTTCTGCTCACTCAGGGGGGTTGACTAGAAGACCTCCAACATTCCAACTTTATTATTCTGTTATATATACTACTTATCGACATCCAACTCACATTTGACGTCCAGAGTCGAGAAGCCTTCAAACTCAAAAGTGGTGTTGGGGTAGCTGACTTTGCAGCCCACCTCATGTCCGTGGTTCTCACGCAATGGTAGGAACTTCAGGATGGAGATGAGTGACCAAGTGCTACCTTCTTCCTCTATCTGTGCGTAGACGGAATGCTCAGCCAAATTCTCATGGTTCATCCATGTGATGACAGGTTTCATGTCTGGGCAATTGTCGGGCACCTCGCAGCGCAGCTCTGCATCTGAACCCTCCACCACTTCTGGAGGATTCAAAATGGTAGGCTTGTCTACGGAGTAGAAAGAGACAGAGAATATGGAGAAAACAGAAACTCCCCTTTTCCTGTCTTCTCCTTCAATTGAGAGGGTACTAAAGAAGCCGTTGACCGGTTGTGTCCTCCTTTGGGAGAAAGGTAGATGCAGTCTGATGTGACCAGAATGAACCTTACATTTTAGGTTACATTTTTTTAAATGCCAAAGCCAAATAGTCCTGTGAGCATCTAGTTTGCAGTAGTGGTGAATATCTGTAGCTCGGGTGTAGGATAAGGGTGAAGCTTCGTTCTCCTATTAACCACACGAAGCCCTTATAAAGAGAGGAATACAGACACTGACATCCCTAAACTCCGCTGAAGATGTTACCTAGCCTGGTCACGAAATGTTTGGAAACCAAGCCACAAACTCAGAGAATGAACCTTCATCTAGTAAAGCAGGGGCATCAAACACAATTTCCGTTGAGGGTTGCATCAGGGTTGTGTTTGAACTTGGGCGGGGGGGGCTGGATGGGTGTGGGCAGCCTGGGGTCACCATGATGGCCTCCTGCATCCCAGTGCCAGCGAGAATGGAGCCTGGGGAGGCCATGTATGGTTCCGTTCTGCCTGTTGAGGCCCACCCAAGCTCCGTTCTTGCTGGCAGAGGGCTGCAGGAGGCCATTGTAGCTAAAATGGAGCCTGGGCAGGCCGCACACAGCCCTCCCAAGCTCCATTTTCGCTTGGCAGAGGGCTGCAGGAGGCCCTCAGGAGGCCTACATCCCTTAATTGTTGCTGACTCCCATACTATTTGAAAGGGCTCACCAGCTTAGACCCGACTCTTTATAAGCAAGAGTTGGAATTGGTATTTCCCACCACCATTTGCCTGATACTCACTGATGACCTCAAGGTTAGTGTGCTCTGGATAGGTATATTGATTGTAGCCACCGAGGTCTCCCCGAAAGTAATACTTCCCTGAGAGTTCAGGGCTGAGACGGGAGATCTGGAGGGTGCAGTTGCGGAAATTCAGCTCTCCCAGCAGTCTGCTGCGTCCAACGTAGCTCTCGTGGATAATGTTGGTGCGGGATTTGTAAACCACTGGTGGATAATTCTTGGGGTATGGGCTGTTGAAGTACCAGATGCCATGGATGGTTGGTGGACGTAGCTCTTCTGGGTAGCTGAAGCGACAGGGGATAACCACACAGGTGCCCTCAAACGCAGTGATGTGTTCGGGCATCCAGGCGCTCCACGGTCCAGCCAAGACCCCTTTGGAAGGAGGCAGAAGAGAATCACAATGAGAGAAACGTATAGTTGCTGATTGACTGCCTGCCCCATGGCTGATCTTGATCTGCTTTATCTGCTGTGACCAGGGATGGGCTTCAAAAATTTTAGCAATGGGTTCTATGCCCAGTTGCTGAGTGGGCGTGGCCATGGTGGGTGTGGCCTAGTCAGCCTCCTGCACCACAGTGTGTGTGTGTATGGGGGGGTGCGTTTTTGCACTCCCCAGGCTCTGGAGGCTTTCCTGAAGCCTCTGGGAGGGTGAACATGGCCTCCCCGGGCTCCGGAGGCTCTCTGGAAACTGGAAATGGGCCCATTTCTGGCCTTCCCGAACTTCCGGGAGGCCCATTATTCACCCTTCCTGAAGCTCCGCACACGACCTCCACTTACCTGCATCCAAAACAGGCTGCATGGGGACTTCTGAGAGGGGCAGGGCCAGCCAGAAGTGGGATTTGGGGGGTTCTCTGAACTGCACAGAATCTTAGCTAGGGCTCTCCCAAATCCCCGAGAACCCCCATACTGGGTATGATGAATAGATAGTCTCGAGGTCCCTTTCAGGTCCCTCCCTCGGAGATGTGTTACCTGTGGCTCACCTGTCTTTGAATCAGCAGGAAAGGCCATGGAGATCATTTATCTCCATGGCTGAAAGCGTCTCAGCAGTGAGACTTGAATAGTGTTGCTAGCTCTACAGATTTACTGGGAGACAATTTCAGGGTGGAGACTGGGGAATTCACGATTTCCTTCCCTTGAGACTGCCATCGCTTACTGGAAGGAAAAAAACGGTTGCCACCAATTGCTGTCCATAATGAACAACCAGGCAGGGTTGGGGGACTCTTAAGTCATCCACATATTTTCTTGGGGGGGGGGGGGGGAGAATACCATATTTATGCCAAACCACATACTTCCTCCACAAGATCTCTCCGATGATCCAAACCCATGCTTCCTTGCCTTGAGCTTTGTATTCCTGTTCCTTCCACTACTGAAAAAAAGCACTCAAGGGAATAACAAAGGTGTTACATACCCTATAGCAGTGTGTATTTTTCAGCCTTAGCGAGTTTCAAGATGTATGGATTTCAACTTCTAGGAGTTGACTTCCACACATCTTAAAGTTGAGAAGCTCGACAACTAATTCTTAATAGTTAATTCAGTGAAAAAATAGGAGCCCCAAGATGCACGCCGTACCGTTGTGACGTCAGCCCCTCCCTCCCCACTTCTTGGGTTTTTGATGGGTCATCGCCATGTAATTTGGGAGGGTGTTACCAAGACAGAACTTTCTCTCTTTTTTTGTCCAAAAGTACCTTCAGATAGGACCCAGAAGGCCAGCAACGTCTTGCAGAAGAATTTCATGTTGTTTATTTTTGAAGAAATGTGTAGGTCAACCTAGAGGAAAGAAGGAGAAGTAGGATGACATTGATAGTAAGAGGACAATTGTTTGGCGTAATAGAACATTCCCTGGAGCAGTGTTGCCCAAACTTAGCAACTTTAAGTTGTGTGTATGTCAATTCTGAAAATTGGGGGAATTGAAGTCCACACATCTTAAGATTGTCAAGATTGAGAATCCTTGCCTTACTGATCCCTTCCATTGTGATTTCTCTTCCATAGAGAGACCTCCTACAAAAGAAAATTGCTAGCTAGACCTCAGGCATGTACAGCATCAGACCATCAGTAAGGAGAAACTGGATTTGTGCCAGTACAGCAGAAGTTGTTTCCTGTTTGCATTCCATAACTAGGTCAGTTACAGCTAATATGCAGATTGTATGCATTCGCTGTGCATTCATGCAAAGACCATATTCAGGCAACTAAAGGGTTTAAACAGTGTTTTTCAACCTTAGTTATTTTGTGTTGATTTCATTTCTCTGAATATCCACCCATTTTCAAATGACCAAGATTGAGGTTTAAGGCTACTGACTGCAACCTGAACCTGAGGATGCTCAGAAGGAAAATTGGTTCATCCATGTGTTGATGTTTTATACAATCTTGGTGAGAATTCATACACAATCCTCCTCCTGCATACATGTTCGGTGCTGGAAGTTGAACAGGGGCTGTCGTAATCACACTGTATTCATACATTGCCTAAGCTGTAATATTGCCTAATTTGATATATTATCTTGTGTAAAGCCAGCCTACTTGTAGCTTATGCAGCGAACTGTGGTTAAAGAAATACTGGCTCTTGGTGTGGTGGGTGAACCCTGTCATAGAGAAATGAACAATGTTATCCAAGGTATTTTTGTTGGATGTTTATCCTGTACAGTAACATCGGTTTCTTTTTAAGTTTTGCAAAGCCAACTTGGGAGAGGTGTTCTCCCGGAAGCTGGAATGTACGGTAATGCTTATATAACAATATTTTTTCTTTAAAAGAAAAATCAAGACATTGTTTTACTTTGTTCGCTCTATTGTGCCAGCAGAGGGAGGCAGTACTTCATATATTCTCCATTGCCTGATTGTGCTCTTAGGGCAAGTGTGCAGAGAACTGTGGCAGCTTTGAAATCTGATTTCCATCCTTCAGCCCAACTGTTGGAAGACTCTTTGTGCATCAAGGAGAAATGTTTTCCAGTATGAAAGTAAAAATATTTAAAAAGTCCTGTTTGGGGTGGGGTAGGGAAGAGAAACTGGCTGGGCTCCAGTTTTGCTAACCCATCTGACATACCCTCCTAGTGCAACAGCAACCTAAGAATTGATATTCCCAGACATGAATCCTGGACTGTTGCTAGCAATGCAAGGTAAGACAGATTACCTTGCAAGGTAATCCAGAAGCACAACCAGGAGTACCAACTCTGCCTTTACTATAAGGTTACAGTAACAAAATCTTGGAAGACTGAAAGTTTATTACTCTCTGGAAAACTGGGGAGGAGCCCTTCTGAAATGAATAACAGTAACAGACTTAGAAGGGACCTTGGGGGTCTTCTAGTCCAACCCCTAGCTCAAGCAAGAGACCCTATACCAGTGGTGGGATTCAATTTTTTTAATACCAGTTCTGTGGGCGTGGCTTGGCTTGGTGAGCATGACTTGGTGGGTGTGGTAGGGGAAGGATACTGTAAACTCTCCATTCCCTCCCACCCCACTAACCTGCTTTCCAGCTCTGTTTTCCTGTGCAGGTCAACAAAAGGAGACCCAGCCAATCAGCTGGGACTCAATGGGAGGCAGAGAATAGATGGGGGCGGGGCCAGTCAGAGGTGATATTTGCCGGTTCTCTGAACTACTCAAAATTTCCGCTACCAGTTCTCCAGAACTGGTCAGAACCTGCTGAATACCCCCTCTGCCCTATACCATTTCAGACAAGTGACTGTCCAGTCTCTTCATTAAAAACTTCCAGTGATGAAGCACCCACAGCTTCCAAAGACAAGCCGATCCACTGGTGGATTGTCCTCACTGTTAGGAAGTTTCTTCTTAATTCCAAAGGTTGCTTCTCTCCTTGATTAGTTTCCATCCATTGTTTCTTGTCCTGCCTTCTGGTGCTTTGGAGAATAAGTTGACTGCCTCTTATTTGTGGCAGCCTCTCAAATACTGGAACGCTGCTATCGTGTCACCCCTAGTCCTTCTTTTCAATGCTTCACACATGCGCTTCCTCTTTCTGGAGTCTGAGGTTACCTCTTGAATGATTTTACAAACTGTGGTTCTCCCTCCTGCCTCCCAAAATAATTCCCACGTATCGTTACAATCCTTGGGAGAAGATTGGCAAACCGCCATATTGCTCTTCCCTCGACGGGCTGGTGGAAATTTGCACACCACCCAAGCAGAGGCTGAAATTTCAGGAATATCTTGAATTTGAATACACAGTTCCCAGGGAGGGATCACACGTTGTATTAAACCCCATTTTGCTTACTGAACAGAAATGCGCTGCTTTGGCCCAGCGAGTTACAACGCTCAATCATTGGGATTCACCAGTCAGACAAACAAGGCCTGGGAGGTAATGATAGGAGCTGAGCTGGACTTGCCCAGGGAAAGAATGCTGAGTATATCAGCAATGAACTGTCACTAAGTTGAGAAGTACCGGGATGCCGGTGGGGGAGAGATTAAAAAAAAAAGTCAAGAACAGAATAACAGAGTTGGAAGGGACCCTGAAGGTCGTCTAGTCCAACCCCTTGCTCAAGCAGGAGACCCTACACCATTCCAGGAAGAGTGGCCGCCCAGCGTCTTTTTAAAAGCCTCCAGTGATGGAGTAACTACAATTTCTGGAAGCAAGACGTTCCGTTGGTTAGTTTTCTCACTGTTAGGAAATTTCTCTTTAGTTCTAGGTTGCTTCTCTTCTCCTGGATCCATTGTTTCTTGTCTTACCTTCTTTGGGGCTTTGGAAAAATAGGTTGACGCCCTCTTTTGTGTACGGCAGCCCCTCCAATATTGGCTCACTGCTGCTGTCACGTCATCCCTAGTCCTTCTTTTCACATTCAAAGGTGTTGATGGGAGCTACACTACATCCTTGTGCTCAAAGCGCAACTCCTTTCATGGTGCACATCATTAAAAAGGAAGGAGATCTGAGCACAGGGTTGTGGCCTCCAAATAGACACTTTTGGCCGCTCTCCTGCAGAGTATAAAGTGTGATGACCCAGGGTCAAGCGCAGTCACAGAAAACAGGTGAAGCCCCTTTTATTCCTTCACTTCGCTTCCAAGCTCCGAATGTCCTTGACGGAAGACAAAAAACTCCCACAAACAGTTACAAGAAGGAGGAAAAAGGCAACACAAACCAGGCAAGATAAGGGCTGGAGGACGTCCACAGATAACACACACTGGGAAGGATGCCAAACTCAGAGAGGAACCATAAACTAGAGATATTTTCACGCTTTGTTTCCAGCGCTTGCCCGTGTGCATGTCCGTCCTCTTATTCAGTTGTCCCAGCTGCAGCCCATGTAGAGGATCAAGGCCCTCTCCTCCCGAGTAGACCACGTCTCTCCCTTATCCTCTCCTCCCTGCGTGCCCTAGGATGGAGAGGGGATGGGCCTGGGTCCTCCTCTGACTGCCCAGCCGGACTCTGCCATTCCATAACCTCCTCCACAACCTCCGGAGCCACACTTCCACTCCCTGTCGGCTGTTCCTCCTCTCCCTCAGAGTCAGTCTCCACCAGCGGCATGACAGAAAGTATAAAGTGAACCATGGAAGAGGAAGCTAGAGAAGTCCACGAATTAACAAAAGGTTCACACGAAGGAGTTGCATTATTTACAGTGGCAAATAATCCGCTAGACGTCTTTCTGCTTGACTTTTAAACATATAATTTTACACAGTTAGAAAGAAGCACCAAGGAAGAAACAATACTTCTTCCAATACTGGCAGGGTAAGATACGGAGAGTAGCTTACCTCGACTTACGGCAATTGGGACTAGAATTTTCACTGAGGAGCAAGGCAGTTATAAAGTCAGTCATGCCCTGATTTTACGATCTTTTTTTTTTTGCCACAGTGAAGTGAATCGCGGAGGTTGTTATGTGAATCATGCAGGCCATTAAGTCCACCCAATTCCCCCATTGACTTTGCTGGTTGGAATTCAATTGGAAAGATTGCAAATGGCAATCACATGACCTTGGGAAGTTGCAACCGTTATAAATACAGTACGTGCTGGTTGCCAAGCACCCAAATTTTGACCATGTGACCGTAGAGATGCTATGACAATTGTTAAGTGCAGGGACTGGTACTGTACTAAGCCACTTTTTTCAGAGCCCTTGTAACTTCCGATGGCTGCTAAATGAATGCTTTTAAGTTGAGGACTATCTGTGTATAAACAGGCAGCAAATCACATCCTCCCTCGAGAAGTTGGGGATTGAAATGTCTGCAAGCAAACAGCCAAGCTCAGGGAGCTCCAAGAACCTCACAATATTATTTATGTGTTCGATCAATATATTGGGATTTAATAAAGATTCATGACCAGCTAAATGATCTCTAGTGTTGGGAAAGATTGAAAGAAAGAAGAGAATGCTCAGCGGTAAGTCAGGATAGACTCAGATATAGCACTGATGGAAGAGCTGACGGACCAGATCTTCCTGAAGAGAAATATGTGCGCTTGATAAGAATCAACATCATTTCCGTGGCACACAATCAATTAAAATTTTCAATGCTCTGCACGAAGTCCTTAAAGAATCCAAAATTATGCCCACACAAAGAAATCCCATTGCGGGATTTAATGTTTAGTGCTGAGGGAAATGCATGCTTTCAAATTGTAACAACACTACATTGAAATAATATATTATCCCCACAAGGGTATCTGTATTGCCAGATGGAATAAACAATATCAGATGTGCAAAATCCCTCCAGTTGTGTGTCTCCGGAACCAATGACAAATCGAAATGTCTTTGTAGCTAAGGCAACTGATTATTCACCTCCAACTTCTCTGCTTCTTTGTCCTTAAATCTCCTGGCAGCTTCCTTTTCTG